GCTGTATTCCCGGAGCTACTGTACCAGACCTGCTCATACGTCTCCCTCCTCTGCTTCAGTCCCTGCCTGATACCGTTTCCAAGGTAGTCGTGCATGTGGGAATTAACGACATGAAACTTCAGCAGTCAGAAGTCACTAAGAAACATTTTATGGATCTGTTCCACCTCCTTCAATCCTCCGGATTATCTGTTTTTATTTCTGGTCCAATCCCGACTGTAACCAGAGGTGACTGCCTCTACAGTCGTGTTGTGGCGCTGCATATGTGGATCCAGGCTACATGCAGCTCTTTTAACTTTGTCTTTGTGAATAACTTTGCCCTTTTCTGGAAACGTTACGAAGCCTATCGTCCAGACGGATTACACCCAAACAGATACGGTAGCAGCCTGTTGATGGACTACATACGTTATGTTGTTCAGTGCTCCCCGAGGGGGGCGTGACTGTTTACATCTGAGCCCCCTCGGACCCCACCGCACTCCCCCGCCTCCTGCTCACCAGCACCGGGTGAGTACAACGGTGCAAACACTGCTCCCTGTCCGTCTGGCAGTGCATTACCAGTCCAAACACTGAACTGTGCTGACTCCCTTCTGACTCTGGGAGCTAAAGAACAACAACAAGGGTTTTCACATTTTAGGCCAATTGAGACTGTGTGTGTTCCTCGCACCAGCTCAAAAATGTTTTTAAATTCTAAAAAACGAAATCAAAACAGGACAGCAATTAGACGGTCCAACCCTGCAAATCTAATTTCTGTTCCCTGTAGAAATCAATCAACCACATTAATCGACTCTGACGTTATTTTTAAACTTGCTATGCTTAATGTCAGATCTCTATGTAACAAATCATTTTTAATTAATAATTTTATCACTTCTTATGATCTTGATTTTATGCTTATGGCTGAAACATGGCTGGACCAAAATACAGGAAATGCAGTTCTAATAGAAGCAACACCACCCAATTTTAAATTCGAATCCGAAATACGAGAAAACAAAAGGGGGGGAGGCATAGCTGCAGTTTTTAGAGAGCACTTTGTCTCCCATAGAATGCCCCTTGGAAATTTTTCATCGTTTGAGTATATTTCTTTTAAAATGGAACAAAAGCAATCTTCTACTCTTTTCATTGTCCTGTACAGGCCACCACAGTCATGTTGCGATTTTATTGACCATTTTACTGAACTACTTTCATTCGTGTGCACAGATTTTGATAGTTTAGTTATTACAGGTGATTTTAATGTACATGTTGATAATGTTGATGACAGAAATGCAAAGGAGCTGGCTTCTGTGTTTGAGACCTTTGGTTTCATTCAGCACGTGAGTGGCCCCACCCACAGCAGGGGGCACACTCTTGACCTGCTAATTACAAAGGGGGTTAATGTATCAAATGTTAATGTAGTTGATGTTGCTTTGTCAGATCATTTCTGTGTATTTTTTGACATGTGTTTTGCTAGCAAACCACCAGCTGAATTTACAATTGTTAGAAGAAGACACATACATGAAAACACAAGTGAACTGTTCATGGGAATGCTAAATTTTGAGAAAACTCCATGCTCTACTGTTGATGAATTGTATAACTCTGTCACCACCAGTGTTCTGACTGTTCTGGACGCCATTGCTCCTGTGACGGTTAAAATAGTTACCAGTAAGAAAAAGGCCCCATGGACTAAGGCAGACTCGGTCAGGGCACAGAAGCAAGAGTGCCGGAGGGCCGAACGGAAGTGGCGAAAGTCCAATTTCCAGGGCGATTATGAAATCTTTAAAGTTGAGTTGGGTGAATTTAACCGGGTTCTACGTTACTAGAACAAGAGAAATGTATTTTTCTGACATTATTGGAGGTTGCAGTAACAATTTTCGTGTTATGTTTTCAACAGTTGGTAGATTAACGAACCCCCCTGTAAAGTTGCCCCTAGAATTTTCCTCTAAATCTAGGTGTAATGAGTTCGCACAGTTTTTCGATGACAAAGTACAAGGAATCAAAAACACTATCACCCCCACAGCACGTATAACAATGCAACAGCCAGAGAAGCTTTTTGAGCTAACTCACTTTGCACCTGTGGATACTAAAACTGTCAAAAAGATAATCATGAGTCTGAGCTCCTCCACATGTAGCCTGGATATATTGCCCTCTAAATTTCTGAAGTCCGTCCTGAGCAGTTTGTTACCTTCACTGACACAAATAGTAAACATGTCTCTGTCGTCAGGAACATTTCCTATGGCCCTAAAAACAGCAGTCATAAGACCTCTCCTAAAAAAGAGCAGTCTGGATCCTGCGGGACTTCAAAATTATCGCCCCATATCGAATCTGCCATTCATTGGAAAAATTCTTGAAAAAGTGGCCTCCCAACAACTTACTGAATTTTTAACAATGAATAATTCTTTTGATATGTTCCAGTCTGGGTTTAGACCCCACCACAGCACTGAGACCGCTCTAGTGAAGGTAACAAACGACATTCGACTTCACACTGATGCAGGTAAAGTCACAGTTTTGGTCATGTTAGATCTTAGTGCCGCGTTCGACACTGTCGACCATGAGATCCTCATGCAGAGACTGGAGGACTGGGTTGGTGTCACTGGCACAGCCCTAGACTGGTTTAGGTCTTACCTGGAGGATAGGAAGTACTTTGTGGAGATTGGAGACTGCGTCTCAGATCATGTGGCCCTGACCTGTGGAGTACCACAGGGGTCGATCCTGGGACCTCTCCTATTTAATCTCTACATGCTGCCGTTAGGTCAGTTAATACAAAGAAACAAAGTGTCCTACCACAATTACGCCGACGACACTCAGATCTATGTCTCACTGACTGCAGGAGAACATGGACCACTGGATTTGCTCCTTCACTGTATCCAACAGATCAGTGACTGGATGCAAAATAATTTCCTCCAGCTAAATGCAGACAAAACCGAAATCATTGTCTTTGGTCCCCAGAAACAAAGAGAGGGCGTCATTTGTCAACTTCAGTCTCTCTCCCTACTTCCTTCAGACAAGGTCAGAAATTTGGGGGTAATATGGACTCAGACCTAAACTTCAATAGCCACATAAAATCAATAACATCAACAGCTTTTTACCATCTGAAGAACATTGCCAAAGTTAGAAATATAGTGTCCAGGGCAGACTTGGAGATTCTTGTCCATGCATTTGTCTCCAGTAGGCTAGACTACTGCAATGGCCTGCTTACAGGTCTGTCCAAACAGACCTGTAAGCAGCTGCAGTACATCCAAAATGCAGCAGCTAGAGTCCTGACAGGAACCAGGAAGTATGACCATATTAGTCCGGTCCTCAGGTCACTGCACTGGCTTCCTGTGGCTCAGAGAATAGATTTTAAAACAGCTCTGCTTGTGTACAAGTCTCTCCATGGCCTTGCACCAAAATACATTAGTGACATGTTGGTGTCATATGAACCAGCCCGGACTCTGAGGAGCACAGGGACTGGCCTCCTGCTGGTGCCCAGAGTGAGAACCAAACATGGGGAGGCTGCGTTTCAGATCCATGCAGCTAAGATCTGGAACAATCTCCCTGAAAATGTGAGGGAGGCGTCTACTCTGTCAATGTTCAAATCCAGGTTAAAGACTGTTCTGTTTGCCTGTGCATACAACTGAAGGATTTTATCTGCATTTCTAATGCACTGTTGTCATTTATTTTTATTTTATTTTTTTAAATTTCTTGTGTAATTTTGAAAGTTTTAATGGTTTTATTCTTTTGTGTGATTTTAATGTTTTAATTGTGTTTTAATCTTTTGTGTGATTTTAATGTTTTAATTGTGATTCTGGTGTTTGTTTTATGTGATGATTTGTGATGTGGACTGTGAAGCGCTTTGTGTTGCCCTGTGTATGAAAGGCGCTCTACAAATAAACTTTGATTGATTGATTGATTATTATTATTATAATGGAGCAAACCAAGAAATCCTATTTGAAATAAACATTATTCAGTATGTACAGAGTATATTTGAATCCTTCATTCTCTAAAGCGCTGTAGGGCTGGATATCTTTGGAGATGAAGTAGACAAACTAACTGCTATAGCAGTAAATTTCTCCTGTGTGAGATTAATAAATAATCTTATGCCTGGGAGCGGGCAGAGCTGCTTGAGGCGTGTTTTGACCAAAGAAGTTTGTGATAGACCAACTCCTCGCGTCGCTAACTTTCGGTATAATCCAAAGGAGAGGAGGGGGTAGCGCGCGGAGGTATCCACGCCGTGCCGTCTTCTCAGATGCGTTGCCAGGTTTGTTGTGCTACCAACGTATTTGATAGGCGGCGCCCGGCATTTCCGCACGCTTGACTTGTTTTTTTGGGGCCATTAAAAATCTCCTTGCCGTTTATGTTGTGAGCGTTCATGCTTGTTTTGGACCCGAAGCTTACGTCAGAGCCCGAGGAAGCGATGGTGCATTCAGGTTGCCTCGGAAATATGACAGGGCAGGGAATAGAATCGATTTAACCATGGAATCTACCGATTCACTGTAAATTGGTGAATCTTCACATCCCTAGTCTGCATGCTTCTATATGGAAACACTAGTATAATTGTCTTTTATAAGCTTGTCTGCAGTATTCCTTTTGTATGTGAGTCTTGTCTTTTGGTGCCTGTCTGTGTTTCCTGTTCTAGGTATGGATCTAGGGTTTGAATAAAGAAATGGCGACGATATGGTTCTATTCATTTTGCACTGAAAAACCAATTGTTTAGTGTAACCCAAACCCTAAAAGCCAGAAGTAAAAGTGGGTTATAGACGAGACATAAAACTGAAATGAATTGAAATGTAAGTTTACAGACAACCCTAGTCCAGGAAACACTCAGAAACAGGACAGGAGAACATGCAACAAATTCAACCAACTCCCAGGCTAACTACTCCTCCGCTTGGATTCATGGGCAGATCTTGTGCAATATATGAGGTAAAACAATGTGGTTAGAATTCCTCTCCCTCTCTTCCTCTATAAGCCGTCATTACACGGGCCACTCCACTCCTCGCCTAACACATTTTTGTCAAGTTTTGTGGTGAATCGCGGTGTGTTTTCATTCTCACCAGAGGTAGCTCCCAAAGTAGGCCACGATGTTGTGGTGCATGCATTCTTTCACCATGAAGATTTCCTGCTGAATGATGGAAAAGTCGTCCCCTGGAAGCACAAAAACACATGAACAGAATGTTACTACGGATTCTGGAAGAGGAGGAGGAGGAGGCTTTTTAAATTATACAGGACATAAACAGCTTTCAAAAGTAGAGCACTGTGGTTTGGGTGCAGGGCTGTCACGATTACCGGTGTAGCAGTAAACCCCGGAAAGAAATTTGAGTAATAATTTATTTATTTTTTAAAATACACATTACACATATATATATATTTATTTATTTTTTGGTGGATTACCGCGCCGCGATGTACAGCACAGCCATTAAGAGCCTTTTCCCGCGTCTCTGAAGCTGCTGAAGTTGCAGCTCCGGTGCACTATCATGCTAGAATCATGACCGAAGGAGGCGACAACAGCCCCTTATTTACCAGCCTTCAAAAAGGAAAAAGTCTGAAGTGTGTCACCTGCCTCTTTCTATTGCATTTCCTGTATTTGAATTGTTTGATTCCCTGATCTTTGTTGGCAAATCAACAGCTTTGTGAAGTCCTCCAAGATGACTACTGTTGTGATTTAGGGCTATACAAAAAGAAATTTAATTGAAGTTACGTTATTATGTTTAGTCCATTCAAAATTTCAATATAGGCTGCATTCATGTGACAGTGATTGGCCTGAGCGCTGCTGGAAGCCATGGTCACTAAGGAAATTCCCTTTATTGTGTCTAGGCATCCTAGCTATGGTACCAGATACTAAAGCAAAATGGAACCAAGGTAGAGTAGAGTAGAGAAGGGCTGGTGGAAATGGGGCTAATAGTAACTAATTGTCAAGATTTATAGTATAAGGTTGGAGTCAGATCTCTGAAGCTAAGCAGGGCAGGGCCTGGTTATTACGAGATATGTATATTAACGAGAGGCTATAACTGAAAGAACAAGAGGCTAAAACCCAGAGAACGAAAGAATAAAACCTAGAGAACGAGAGGATAAAACCTAGAGAACAAGAGGATAAAACCTAGAGAACGAGGTTAAAACCAAGAGAACGAAGCTGAAACCCAGAGAACGAGGCCAAACGCGGAGAGCTTCTTCAGCAGGCTGTTAAAAGAAAGAAAGAAAAGTAGCATATGGAAGTGATTTAGCCATCAAACAGAACCATGTGTGAGTGATTGATAATGAGGTGGAAGCGATTAGTGACGTACTTGGGGGCATTCCAAGTAAAGCAAAGATAGTCTCATAAAATAAGTTATGTGGAGAGACTTATTACAATAACCATTGTTGTGTGTTATTTCTAATCTGTGATAGATAGAATGACAGATACTTTATTGATCACTGACCAAAGTCACAAAGTACTTTACACTTGTTGTGGGCATTTGTCTCTCACTCCAAACAGAGATGGGAGCAGGGTCGCCATACAAGAGGCGCATTCCAGACCTATTGTTTATGTTTTTAGTGATGGGGAAACCAGAGCGTGTGGTAGAAACCTATGCAGACACGAGGAGAACAAGCAAACTCAACACAGAAAGGCCTAACCACTGTGCCACCGTGTCCCTCACATTCATCCATACGAACAACTAAATACATAATTCTAAAAGTTAAGAACAATAGTATGAATTGGTCACAGCAGCAGAGGTCTTGCTGAGAAGTGATAAATTCTGACATATTGCACAATAATTTTGGCACAAACAAAAATAATTATGTATATTAGAGTGACGACACTTAAAGCTGCACTAACTGACTTTGGGATTTTGAAGCCGCGGACCCGCTGGCCTCTCTCTTTCTGCTCCCCTCCCCGGATTCAGATCAGATTCAGATTCAGATTCAGAAAACTTTATTGATCCCTTAAGGGCAATTGATTTGCTGCAACCTCCGACAGATGTTGTACAAACACATCACAACACTCACTGTGTGTCACTTCCAACAGTACAGACAATAGCAAATAATTAAAAGAAAACGGCACATTTCACAAAGGTCGGTGTCACTTAATAAACACACTTCCTTCAGAATTCAACAGTTTAGTGACAGAGGGGACAAAAGAGTTGGCGAAACGATTTGGGACGGAGCTAGTGTCTCCCAATATGGATAATACATGAATATGGATTTGCACGTGGATGGCGTGACCATAAAACGATAGAACCGGGAAGCGCGGAGGAACAGGACTTTCTTTTGGATGGCTGTTTCGCTAAGTAAGCAGTAACTGGTGATGAAGACACGAAGCTCAGGTTAGCTCCTCGGCTTGTTGTGCTAACTCAGCTGTCTGTGCTAACGGACCTGTAGATTTCTCACGAAAGTGGGGGCTATTGGTCCGCTGTGATTGGTCACAATCTGCGACCCGAAACACATTCTCTTCCTTGTTTCATCAAAACTCGATCTAAAATATAATGTCACGCCAGCACAAATCTGCGCTAATTATTCTTCAAAAGGACGTATATCCCAATGCACTACATGGACATGGATAGCATTTTCGTAATGAATACGAAAATAAAGTCAGTTAGTGCAGCTTTAAAGATGGAAATAACCGTGTCATTCAAAGCTGTAGACTGATTTAAAGTTTTTCCTATTACTAGTCCCCATCTCAGTCTGTATTGTCTGTAGCTCTAAGCAGTTCTAGTTCAGTTAAACCGGTTCTGGTCCAGGCTCTATTCACCTGCAGCTCAAAAAAGGAGGGACAAGGAGTGACTTAGCCACAATGACACAGGGAAACACCCAGAGCCAAAATAAAAGATACAGCCATTTCTTTGAGAGAGACATAAATTAAGCTCCAGCCCTGAGAATGAACCTCAAATCAAGAATTAAAGTTAAGAAAATAAAACTACTAGAGATTTTCGGAACATAACAAACACATATTTTAAGATATTGTAAAATTTGAAATAAATCTTTGAAAACATGTGACCTAAAATCTTATGTTGATAATTGCCAAAGAATTAAACTACTACAACTGCTACTACTGCTGTTGCTACAATTGTTACTAGGGCTGCACAATATTGGAAATTAGAGCGATATTCGATATGAGTGTTTAGAATTGCGATAACGATATTATTGCGATATTTTTGTCTTTCACCTGAAATGGCAGTCTGCATTGAAACGCAAGAGACAAATAACAAAAAATAAGCACAACATTAATGACCTTCAGATCCATATATTTATAAACTTTTTTGTTCGTTTGTTTGTCTGTTGTTCGTGTTGAATGTTGAATGTTGATGTCTGTCTGTTTTGTTGTCCTTTATAAAAGGAAAAAATATTACTTTTTTATCACAGATCTTTTCGATATGGATATCGCACGCACCAATATCATGATACGAAATTTTGTCGATATATTGTGCAGCCCTAGCCCCTATTAGTTGCCCTGAGTATGAACTGTTATATACGAATAAAATAGCCTTGCGTATTAGGTCTTTAGGCACCAAAAAAGCAGAACTTCTAGCTTCCCACAAAAGATTGTTCCTACATTTTTCTTCATATCTAGGATCAAACTTAGCCGAAGTCAGTTTTAGGACACAGTCGCTGTCATGTGTAACCAACTAAACAGGTAGGAACTTTGATACCGTGCTGTGATTATTACAAAAGTATTTTTCGTTCCGGAAATAGAACCCATAATCTTCTCTGGTGTCAGATATAAAAATAAAAAAACAAAACATTGACTGACACCAGACCGCTTTCCCTCTTGGAATGCAATGTGTTTTGACTGGAACAATCAAAACAACGGCATAAAACACAGAAATATCCATAGAGCAATACAACTTTTAAAAGACTGTTGAATTATAAAAGATGGGAGTTTATACAAAAGGTAAGTATTTATCGAAACAACACAAAGCATTAAAGCCGTATTTAATCATCGCAATCAAGATGCAATCCCTCAGTTGTGTGCACAGCTAAACAGAACTGTTAAGAGAAGAAGCCTGTCTCACATTTTCAGGAAGAAAGCTGCATAAATCTGAAACGCTGCCACCCCATGTTTGGTCCTGACTCTGGCCCCAGGAGGAGTCCCAAGTTGGATACAAAAGCCACTTATGTAGTGAAAAACATCAGTTTGAATATTGTATATTGATATGGGCAAGAAAAAGTAAGACAACATTTTGAGTGTTTTTGTCAGAAATTCTTTACATATAGGGCAGGATGAATAGTAGATAAAGGCGGACATTGCATATGATTACAGTATTTACTATTTAAAGAAAAAGCGGCAGAAAATCATGCAGCACTGGCAACTTAAGAAGATCCCTTATCTTGATAATTATTCTTAAATGTCAAAGGAAAATGTTAGTGTATATACAGGACATATGGAAAGAAAGTACAGGATACAAGTCTAGTGTTGGTGGTGGTAATATTATGCAACGAGAGTATGGGATAATAAACCTCATTGTTCATCAAACGCAGACGGATAAACGGCTTTAGCTCGTTTACTCTGACCGTCATCATTAAAAGTGATAAAAGAGGGAGCAGGCGGCTCAGAGTGAACGTGTTTGTGTGTGAAACCGGTTCAGTTGGGTCTGATCCGTGAGCCCAAAGCCCCTCGCTGTAATCCCCGTTAATCCTCCGTCAGTGGGTCACAGCGGCAGACGTGTTTTTAGACACATTACAGATTGTGCCACAGGAAGATTTCATGCACTTTAACTTTATTAATAATTACTATCTCTGAAATAATTATTCGACTGCTGTGATAAAATATAAAGTTGTAATCTGTAGAACTGACAAAGGAACAACAACAACAGGCAAAAGGACATTTTAAAACCGAAATATTATTAAACCAATGTTAGATTGAATATATCTTGGCGTGGACACCAGATTGAAACCCTCACCTCCTCTTAATAAGTAACCGCTGTAATGGCCAGTGTGCTCTCTCATTCACCCGTTCCTCTTCTTAAAACGTGCTCTTATACAAATTTGAGGCGGACAGAACATAGAGTTTCCACTGAGGAGAAGCTAATGGGAAAAGCAGCCCGTACCTGGCTCCAGCTTTATGATCTTCACTGCAGCCAGCTCTCCTGTTTGGATGTTTCGGGCCTGGAAAAGACAAAAAACGCTATGTTAGAAAACTGGGCATAACAATGTGTATCCAGGCCTCATCACAAAAGAGGAGTAGCAAGGGGAAATATACAGCGGGAAATGTTATTGAAAAAGGAACAAAATGACGACTGTGAGAAGTGAAAAAATACACATTAATATTCTTAAGTTTGATTGTTGGTGATTTTTGTTGACATGAAATGAAAAGTAAATTGGACAAATGTTTTGGCAGGGTGTCAAAAAATTGTGAATCATAAACTTTACCAGGCTATACCAACTATACCAAACTAAGGCCTGTGAGCCATCTCCGGTGCTCTGTGTAATTTTGTATGGCCCTCTGCCTTGTTATTACAAAGTAGTGTTTGAGATACACTTATCAAACTAAAAAAGCAGATCCAAAGATTTCAACACAGTCTGGTTTTAAGACCGATACATTATATATTTGTTTTCGTATTTTTGAATAAAGTGTTATATTGTTATTGTGAAATTTCCTTCTCATAGAATGATCATTTTGGCCATATCGCTTTGTAGAAACGTGATCACATCAGCCTAGACACAGCAGAGCAGGAGACAGGGTCCTGGGGTAAAAATCCAGAAAGCATGATTAATATTAGTCCAATGCCAGAGCTGATGCGTCAAGGCGTCGGCTCTGGCTGGTGGTAAAATCCAGGTCAAGACGGGATGCCTCTTAATCCTGAGGAGAGAGTGATGAGCTCAGGTCCAGACCTCAGACACGTCTCAAATCAGGCTTAAACTACAGACTCAGGGGGAACTTACTTTTGTCCATTCTGTAAATGAACCAGTCTGGCCTAACTTAATATTTCCCTTGTATTAGTCACAACAATCCTCCTGTGGAGTCACCACCTGCAGAGGGTCAGTGAGGAGCTGGTGCTATGAGACTTGGGTGGCATCTCTGATTGCCACCTCCCTGACCCAGAAATGGATTAAAAAGGGTAGAAAATGGATGGATGGATGGATAGTCACAACAATTAGATTTTAGGTCCTGCAGCTTGTTTTAGGCATAGAATTGATATAGATGGACAATGCTAACCCTCTAGCTCTATGACACTCAATGGGGAAGTGCTAAGTTCTAAGTAAGACTAAGTTTTGCTGCAACTCGCTCTGGCCCCTATTGACATACATTGAAACGTCAACTCCTCTAGCTCAAAAAACATTTATGTCACACTCAACCATTTTGGGCTGAACAAGTCTGTGGTTTAGTGCCTTCTATGAGCCTGGTATTTATATTGATTTTGTCGTTGTCAATCCAGATATGAGCCATATATGAATTGATCAGAGGCCTGCCCCTGTTACAGCGCATAGATAACGTCATGGGAGAAATCCCCATAAGGGAATTGGCTCAAGCTAGCTATTGTTCAAATGTTTTATTCCTCGTTAAGACTAAGACTAAGGGTGACACACAGAACATTTTAGTCTAAAATTGCTTAATGGGATTTTACATCTTAAATCACCTTTTAACCAGCTTCCATTACTGGCATTACGGAAGAAATCGTTAAGATTTGTTTATGCCCAAAAATAATGCTATGAGAATCAGTAAATTTCAGCCAATTATTATTCATTTTAGACTCTTAACAGAAGAGGGTACAAAATAAACTGAAATACAGAGATTGGATTAGATCTACATAGCTCCAGGTCTGTTGATGAGTGAGCAGTGTTGGAACTCAGGATGCAGAGGGGCAGAACATTTTTGGTAAATTTCTGAATTCCTGTTTACTAAACACAGAGAGAGTGCTGTGAGCTCAAAATATGTGGTCGTCTTCAATATCTTTTGTACATGTGATGGAGGCTTGCACAGCACCAGTAGGGGGCGCTGTATAAATAGCAGTGTTCTATGTGCATGTGATTGAGGAAAGACATGGATGTTTTAGGTAGGATCATGCTCAAAAACTTTAATCAACTATATTCAAGTTCCCTATAAAGTGCCAACCTTCAGTTTATTCTCATTTATTCCCATACATTCCTGCTCATTTCCAAGTTTCCATCTTTGATATTTCCCAGAATTTTGCAACCCTAGTTGGAGCATGGTTAAAAGTAAAAAAAGGGAAATTCGGTCTAACGTCCAAGTTTCAAGTACTTTCACTATTCTAATTTACAGACGCCATTTGTGTGTCAGAATGTGTTATCATGGCGGCAGAGACCTCACTGTGAGACACAAGTTTTACATCCTGACTTCTGAGTGCGACCTGCGTCCGAAAGCAGAAGTGACTGAGACGCTTCAACATCTTTAGGCAGGAAACCGTCACATAACTCCAGTTTACAGCAAAACAATAGAGTCCAAAGTCAACAACACGAGAAACGGCTGCAGATCAAAACAGTCACTGCAAATCTACCAAGTTATAAAACATGGAGGAAACATGGAAATCATACCGCTATAGATGGAAAATACTTCCAGAGCCAAAATTCATGCCAAACCAAAATCTATGTAGACAACCAAAACAAAAAACAGTGGGGTTTAAATTTGTTATAAGTAGAAGTATATAAAAATATGAAGTTATTTGGTTTTCCTTTACCCATACCACACATAACTTCACTTACTAAGAAGACAGGATGAACATCTAACATATGTAAATAGTATAAATATAAGTATAAATGTGGTTCAAAGTATCAAAGTGAAGTGAAATAATGTTAAAGTTACACAATATTGAGATTTCACTTCTTAACAAAATTAGCTTTTGATATGTGTTTTAATTATCTCTTTTTGCAACTAATAATATTATATACTCACTGTAAACGTTCCAAATCAAAAATACATGTTGATTTATTGATATAGCACAGTTCGAATAATCAGTGCATCAAAAATAGTGAAGAAAGGCAATGACAGAATTAAAGAGGTACTAAGCTTTACAATGCATGTCTGTATTGGTGAAGATGAAGTTGGTTGGATGACATCAAATGTATGTTTATGATTGCAATGTCTAAGTTTGTGTTAGTTTTGACATGGCAGGTCTACGGCTTTGTAGCTGCGTGGGGATCTTTCGCAGATAAGCCAGAAGTCTATAAATCTTGGTATTTCGTCCACTGCTATATTCGACCAGTGTGCATGGGTCGAATCTCTAATAAAATAAGGTGATAAAGTGAATAAATAAAATAGAATCACACAGAGCTACATTAAAGAGTTTTTTATTGCTCTATAAACTGTGATGGGAAAGAAGCAGTTACAGTAATCACAGTGTTTTAATGAAGACGAATGAGCCATTATCAAGAGCAGTAACACAAAGAAAACACATCTACTTTAAATACATCCACTGGCACATAAATCACAGAGGAATGTGGAGAGGAGCTGGGGGAAGAGAGAGAGGGAGAGGAGAGCCGGGACAGGGGAAGGGGAGAAAGAGAGGGAGAGAGAGGCGTGAGAGGAGCAGGAGGGAGAGAGTGAGTGAGTGAGAGGAGAGAGAGGACAGCCAGGATAGGGGAAGGAGTGAAGGAGAGGGAGAGGGAGAGGGGAGAGAGAGGAGTGAGAGGAGCAGGGGGGAGAGAGAGTGAGAGGAAAGAGAGAGGAGAGCCAGGACAAGGGAAGGCGAGAAAGAGAGGGAGAGAGAGAGAGAGAGAGAGGAGAGCCGGGATAGGGGAAGGAGAGAAAGAGAGGGAGCGAGAGGAGTGAGAGAAGCAGGGGGGAGAGAGAGAGTGAGAGGAGTGAAAGAGAGGAGAGCCAGGACAAAGGAAGGAAAGAAAGAGAGAGTAGGAGGGAAGGGGGAGGGAGAGAGGAGTGAGAGAAGTGAGAGAGAGAAAGAGTGTAAGAGGAGCAGGAGCATGAAGTTTGTATGATGTAAACATTTGTCATTCAGCCATCTTCAGCTCTTTCACAGCTAATGTTTAAATAACACCCGCCTCATTTTGGCTTGTGCACAAAAGTTGGGCATACCCAAATGTCTTTGCTTATTTAAAAACACATCTTACATCTCACATGCTTGTGTGATGCATCATATTAAAGTTAGAGCCTTCTAGTTTATGTAAATATACACTAAAATAATGTTTGTCATTCCTATTTCACTCTGCATCCTTTGAAGTTTGGGAAAAAAACTTATTTTTTTAGCCTCGCCTAAAATTTTCAATTTCTAAAGGCCCTAAAGAAGGCATACTTCATTGTAAGTTCACAATATTCAAACCCTATGGTCATTGTGTTGTTGACAACAACTGTCTAAAGTTTCAGACTTCTAAGTTTTATAGTTTTTATGCAGTTTCTCCTTTTCATCAAGTAGTGCCATTCGGAACCAATTTGGCACAATTGTGCCAAATTGTGCCAAAATGCTTTACTGACATTTCATCATCATAAAAACCATATTTTTTATTATTGGTACTTATAAGTTACTAATCTATGTGATTTTTTATTATTTTTTTATGTCAAAGTTAATTTTTCATGAGTGTAAAATCATTGCGGCTTCCAGAGCGTCTTTTGACTGCCATTACGCATACTTGTAAGGACACAAAATATGACAGTACACCTTTGTCCCACCCCTTGCTAGAAAGCTTTCCTCATTGGCTACACGGACATGTCAATCATTCGGCCAGGAAATAGATGCAAAGCAATCCGGAAGACAACAAAGCTCAGTCACCGATGCGCAAAAAGCAGCCACTTGTCCGACTCACGGGAGATGCTACAGACGTAAAAAAGCTCGTAGCTTTTCGGGAATGGTCTCATTTTGAAGCTAAGGAACACGTGGATACCATTTTTTTGGGTGAAAAACAAAGCTAAAAGTCCATGAACAGTGAAAGAGCAACCTCCCTGCTCTTTTTTTGTTTTTTTTTTTGCTAAAGATAAATGCACATGTTTGGATTATTTCTCCAGAATGGATTATACTTTGGGAAATACAAAATATAAAAGTTAATATTATTTTTCAATAGACAGTTACGGAGTGAAAGAGGGGTTGGAAGCTGGGAGGAGAGCTGATTTATTTATGCAGCACAAGCCCAAAGGTAAAAAACTTTCAGAAGTGGTTTATTTTGTGCCCATATTATGTGTTATATCTTTTGAATGCAAAGTCTGATGTAGTTTACACTTGTATAGAAATGTAGATACGAAAATAAGCTTTAAAATGATATACAGCTTTTTGGGGTTTGGACTTCAAAATACATCTGCTATCGCCAGCAGAACATTTAAAAAATGAAAACGACGCGCCGGTAGATGTAAAGAGGCTACAGCTTAAAAAACAGTATGAATCCAGTTTTTTAATCCCTCTTATTATAATGTTTGAACACTTCAGTTCTAGATAATAATTCCTAAACTTCAGACACTGGCTCCCACTGATGAATGCTGCTGTTGTGTCTTTGGGCAAGATACCCCTGCCTCGCTCCAGCAACTGTGTGTGTGTGTGTGTGTATGCATTTGTGTACTGCTTTGTGGGTGAGTGGCTCTTTGATTTAAAGTGCTTAGTGTCCCTTGAAAAGGTAAAAAATCTGAAAGATTGAATTGTGTTGTTTTCAAAAGAGTATTTTTTTTTAAAAGTAGTAAGATGGTATTGCAATGTTGCAGTAGTAAACGTGCCTCGATATCGTTGTGGTGGTATTAAAAAGCATCAATATAAATACAAGAAAAAGCAGCAGCCGTGCAACTATTTGTAAACTACAGCTCCCATAATTCTTTGTGCAGCAGTGTGCAACAGCAGAAATTAACAGTTGCCAATTCTAAGTCTGATGTTTGGAAGATTTTGGCAGAAGTTATGGCAGCTAGAAAAAAAAAATGTTTACCCAGGCGAGAAGATAGTTCAAATTATACATTGTAGTTCAAATTATACATCGTACAATAAAAAAGGAGAAGGTAGAAGTATAAAACTTACAATTTCTTACTTTTGTTTTCTTTACAGTATTATAAATGACTTGGCCAATTGATAATTATGTTGCTAAATCATTGACTTAAAGTTGTCAATGTAAGTTCTGTCACTACAGCGTGATCCGGGAAACACCAGCAACAAGCCCAGTCACCTGACAGAAAGTATACAGACTTTCATAAAGACAGCTTCACCGGTCAAAAACCAGAAGGAATTTTAACTATGCCACACAACCACCTGGTACAACGTCAAATACATGGTGTGTAATTTAAAAAATCCCGATGGATCGCAATGTTCCAAAATCTCATATAAATTAGTGCAACTAAACATTGCAAATGGTGTATTTTATGAGCAGTGTTCAGTGTGATCCTGATCAATAAATTTAACAATAAAAGACTAGCAAAAGCAAATCAACTACATTTTTTTATCATCATAAACACATTATTGTGAGCCATAATACAATAATACACAGGTTTTATACAGCGCTTTTCTGGACACTCAAAGATGCATCACTTGACCGTATTCATACACAGTGGTGATAAGCTGCTACCACAGCTGCCCTGGGGCACACTGACAGAAGCGAGGCAACCAGTATGTGCCATCAGCCCCTCCAGCCCCCACCAACCATTCTCACACACACACATCAGACTTGTTCTAATGTGGGTGAAGAGTCTTGCCTCAGGACACAAAAACAGTTTGGCACTTTATAGCCACCCCACTGTGACACCTGGTGTTTCCAAAGGTCTCCCATCACAGTACTAACCAGACCCTGCACTGCTTCGCTTCAGAGGCCCGACAAGGTCTGAGTTTCACATGCAGGTATGGCCACAATACATCTGATCACAACAATAGTGTAAATAATTTCAATTCAATTTATTTATGGAAAGCCCCTTGAGATGAAGCATCTCGTTTGAGAGGGGGACCACAATCTTTATTTATATAGCGCCTTTCACAGACCAGAGTAACAAAGTGCTTTACAATTGTGGGCATTTGTCTCCCACTCCACACTGAGAGCGCAGTCGCCAAACAGGAGGCACGTGCTAGACCTATTGTACATACTTTTAGTGGTAGAGGAAATTGGAGCACTCGGAGGAAACCTATGCAGACACGGAGAGAACATGAAAACTCCACTCAGAAAGGCCATGCTTTGACCGGGATTCGAACGCAGGACCTTCTTGCTGAGAAGCGATTCGCTTTGCCACCTTGCTGGAGTGAGATTAGGATAATATTACATCCTTAATAGACAGATTTTTAAGGAAAAAGAGACGAGCAAATCAGTGATTGATGCCACGATTAGTATCACACAAAGTATTGCACCTGCTCTTTGCAAAAAAGCAGGTTTCAGGATATTTGGAGCGTCCATCAACCCTTCCCCTAGTACCGTTAGTAATTTAAGAACTAAGGTCACATTATCAAGTGTGCTCTGTACTTTTTGAGGAGATGAACAAGTTTGTTTACATGGCTTAGTACAGAGTCACCCGTTTCTATCAGGAAACAAGCCACAGAACCAGATCTGAGACTCTGCCTTTACCTAAGAATAGTTTACTGTGGGGAACATGGACTCCTACATATTTCAGAAGCACTGTCATTGTCTTGCCTCGATGTAGTCAATGACATAGACAATACATCTAAAGTTCACCTGGTAAATATGATCTCAGAAAAGACTAATTTAACATATTCCAGAAGTGATGCACAAAAGACTGGAACGGAGAGGGAGAGAGAAAGAAAGAGACAAAGAGAGATGACAGAAAGAGACCAGAGAAAGAAACAGTTAGAGAGACCAGAGCGAGACCAGAGCGAGACCAGAGCGAGACCAGAGCAAGAGCAACGCGAGAAAGACCAGAGAGAGACCAGAGAGAGAGACCAGAGAGAGAGACAAGAGATAAAGCAAAAATAGATATTTTACTTTATAGACCACAGACTTTGAGGAACGTGACTAAAGTTGTAATAACCCAAAAATGAGAGAAAGCATTTACAGTTCGATCAAATTAAATAAAGTTAGATCGGATCCGGTTTCATACGTCGTTCTCCTGTATGCTGCTAACTCAGTCTGTAACGTTAATAATCTACGCTAACAGTGCAACATGTGCTAAGGTTTTCCTGCTCTGCTCTGGTGTGTCGCACATGTGGTCACGTGGCTGTCAGTCATAAAAACAGCCCAGTTTGTTTCTATGTTTTAGAGAAGCTAAAGCTAATGCTAACGCTATCAGAGAAAAGGCATTGGAGCATGCACAGTAGCATCATATACTGCTAACATGTACAGTAGCATGATATACTGCTAACATGTACAGTAGCATGATATACTGCTAACATGTACAGTAGCATGATATACTGCTAACATGTACAGTAGCATCATATACTGCTAACATGTACAGCAGCATCATCACTGTGAATATTTGAACCCTCAGAGGTACGGACTTATTATATAAATGTTCTTGTACTACAGTATTAAAGATTTATCAACAGATGGATACAAGAGTATACAATATGTTATACTTTTGCAACACTGAAATTTCCCGTCTGTGGGACAAATAAAGGATTATAGCTTTAAAAAACATGCCACCAACACTGCATAACTTCAATAAAAAAATCCAAGTTAATGCAAAAGGACACAACAGTGGGGCTCGCAATAACAATTCAACAATATTCGCTGTGTGTTTTCCCCCAGTTCTTGTTGCAAAACAAACAACTCTCCAGCCTCCATGCTCTGTGATTCAGTTTACCTTGTACACGTCTCCATATGTGCCACTTCCCACTCTCTGAATGAGCTCAAAGTCGTGCTGCGGGTTCCTTCTCTGAATCTCGCTGCTCGGACGAGGAAAAATATCCATCGCTTTGGCTCAATAACTTCCTTCACGTTTGTTATAAATCCTCCCAAAAATGGCTGGATTTGGTGACCACGGATAGTCACTCAGACAGTTCTGCCACCAGCTTCATGCCCTGGAAAAACAAGAGTAATTTTGCTTATAGATCGATGTCGAGTGTAGTGCAATAACATAAATCAGCCCACGGTAAATAGATAAGCTATTAGGGAGAAAAAACATCCAATTCCTCAAGTAATGTGCGTCATAGAGAAACATAAACACAAAGTGACGGGGCCCGAATAAAAAATATTTACATTTTTTGCAACCTGCCTTGAGATTCTGTTCTTGGACTGCAGCCTATTTCTGGGACTTCAAGTCCCATGTGTTGAAATGTATAATAGGAGATACAAAAGCACAAGATACAGAAGCGTTTTGTCAAGAGATGTTAAGATTATGATGTTTGATCACAATTATTTTAGGTTACAATACAGAAATATATTACTTCTTTCGAATCAGTTAATTTTGGTAGGTTTAGTAGCTTTTATTTGAACAGAGACAGTGCCCGACAAAACATTAACCAAGACTGAGTCAAGGGAGAAATGCTGATGCTAGGTTTTAGCAGCAAATGCTAATTTACACCTGTAGTCCCTGAGCAGGTTGTTGTAAGAAAAGAAAAGAAATACAGATTTAAATATAATTTAAAAATGTTAATATCATTATTTCAGTACAATTCGACTGTCCTTAAATAATATAGAACCATTATTTATTTATTATTGTCAATATTGTCAATTATTTTGTCAATAGAAGATGCATCATCAAATGTCAGTTTTCTGGAGCTGTTGGTCTTTTTGTGATCAATAATGCTAATAGTGGATCGATCAATTACAAGAATTTCAATGGGATAAATGCGAATTGACATCATGGGTAATTATTCTTGCTGAAGATGTATTTACTTGAATATTCAGATCAAACTCCATTCACAAACTTGTCTTTATTAATAGCACTTTTTGTGATTAAATGCCAAAAACTGAGCTTTTGTTACACGCACTTTTAAAATAAAAGAGTAATGATTGACTGGGCATGTCTCTAGACTAGACTGAAAATATTAATTTAGTTACAGCCAGAAGTTACTAGTTTAATGGCAAGTGTTTTTTTATCACTATAACTGACTCCAAATATTGTGGCATCTCTGGTTTAGAAAGTTTTTAAAGGAATGAATTATCCGTCTATGTTTATGCAAGGCCAGAGTGAAAGACCAGAGAGAGACCAGAGAGAGAGACCAGAGAGAGAGACCAGAGAGACCAGAGAGAGAGACCAGAGAGAGAGACCAGAGTGAAAGACCAGAGAGAGAGACCAGAGAGAGACCAGAGTGAGAGACCAGAGAGAGACCAGAGAGAGACCAGAGTGAAAGACCAGAGAGAGAGACCAGAGAGAGACCAGAGTGAGAGACCAGAGTGAGAGACCAGAGAGAGACCAGAGAGAGAGACCAGAGAGAGACCAGAGTGAAAGACCAGAGAGAGACCAGAGAGAGAGACCAGAGAGAGACCAGAGAGAGAGACCAGAGAGAGACCAGAGAGAGAGACCAGAGAGAGACCAGAGAGAGACCAGAGTGAAAGACCAGAGTGAAAGACCAGAGAGAGAGACCAGAGAGAGACCAGAGAGAGACCAGAGTGAAAGACCAGAGTGAAAGACCAGAGAGAGAGACCAGAGAGAGAGACCAAAACGCAAACAGTGATTTACATTGATCTTATTTCTTCAAGTACGCAACTGATAAAATATTTACTCACAAGTTAAAGGCAATAAGATATTGTCTGATTTTTCAGAAACTTAAGTTCACCAACTTTAATTTTACAATCAACATCAATCCAACTCACTTACCATAGACTGTATATATTAATTATTACACATATGTTCAACTAATGAGATATTAGTCGCCAATTCATATTATACGAGGCATTAACGCAGTGATATTATACATATTAAAGTAGTGTGGGTAGGTTAAGTTTAAATAATATACATAAATCGGATCCAGTGTTTTCCAGTGTGGGTATGGCTTATCGTGAGGCGGCTAATGCTAATAGCTAAACTTTAGCTTCGGAGTTTTGACTTCATATCCTCTCACCTTTTGCAACATTGAGACTGCAAATCGCTCTGGCTTTCATGTCCACTGTGTTTACTGCATAAAACGTAAATCCAGCGTCGAATTAAACCCCCAAAACAGCAAATATTCCGCTTGGTTTTCGAGGAAATACCAAAGAGAGTTGCAGTAGTAGTAGCAGCGACAACTTCACTCCAGCAATGCAAAAATCCCATAGACTTTTCGACCCAGTTTAGTCCAGTTTTCGCGTTGACAGGGCATCGCACGAAGTTGGCAGTTCATATGAAACTTGGAGATGTTTTTTTTAAAGTTGAAAAAGTCGTGAAATCTGTAGGAACAGCGCTGAGAAGTGATCGCAACTGAGACGAAGTAGAACTGTCTCAGTGCTAATCTCCAGTCCCAGGATACTGAGAGCTGTGTGTGCGTATGGACAACCACACACTCATTTATCTGCCTGTTCGTTTAGACAAAAACAAATGAATTGCACTGTTTGCACACGATTTCTTATTTGAATATATATTTCAATGCCCTAAGTCTTTTAAATGTATTGCAGGATTATTGAATAATTGATTTATTATTATTATTATTATTATTATTATTATTATTATTATTATTCATAAATACATAGATACGTTATGTATGTTTATGATTCTATTCATCTTTATTTCAGACTCGAAATAGATTAGTCCATATTTCAAGTGAAAGTTTTATATGTAGCTACATCTCTACATTGTGTGATCAATGTCGTTTTATCTAATTTTATCTGGTCATAACAAAGAAAAAAATAGACAAGGCATTACAATGTATATAGTCAGTGTTTGTTCATGACAATAAAATATACATATATTAAAAACAGTAGAATACTAAATATGTATATAATAAAAGCAGTAAGTATAATAGAAATAAAACACAGAGGACCACGCAACTCTCGCGGAGTGAAGAGCCAGAGTGAGTCGACGAGACTAAAGTCTAAAGGTAGGTTTGTTTTGCCGGTGAACGGCTGTTATTTTCTGTACTGTATACGAGTATATGTAATTGAGACACATTTTGTATTGTTTTGACCATCAAACAGCAGCTCCTCAACTATGCGTATAAATGACTCTATCTGGTGGCTGAACTTGGTATCGCAAGTTACAAGGTTGGAAAAGAGATTTCAACACGGGGACTGGACTCCTGCTGGGACTCTGAGGAGCACTGGGGCTGGCCTCCTGCTGGGACTCTGAGGAGCATGGGGCTGGCCTCCTGCTGGGACTCTGAGGAGCATGGGGCTGGCCTCCTGCTGGGACTCTGAGGAGCATGGGGCTGGCCTCCTGCTGGGACTCTGAGGAGCATGGGGCTGGCCTCCTGCTGGGACTCTGAGGAGCATGGGGCTAGCCTCCTGCTGGGACTCTGAGGAGCACAGGGACTGGCCTCCTGCTAGTGCCCAGAGTCAGGACTAAAAATTGGTAGGTAGCATTCTTGAACAGTCTTCCTGAAAATGTGAGACAGACTCTGACGACGTTCAAATCCAGGTTAAAAACAGTTTTGTTTAGCTGTGCATACAACTGAAGGATCGTATCTTCACCCCTTTTTAATGTAGTGTGATTATTTATGTTATTTCAATCTCTTGTGTGATTTTTCAATTTTTTGTTTCGTTAAGCACTTTGAGTTCCCCTGTGTATGAACTGTCCTATACAAATAAACTTGCTTTCCCTTTGCTTGTGGTTTGCTGTGGTTTCACATGGACGATTTCATACTATATATTTATGTATTTATTTAAACTAAGCCTACTCACATCGTGAGTACGGGATGTATTTAATTATTCAGACTCTTTCCTCTAATAGATAAAGATGGGAATTGAAAACAAAGATTATGGAGCAATCTTCCTGAAGATGTGAGACAAGCCTCCTCTCTGACAATGTTTAAAACCAGGTTAAAGACAGTTCTGTTTAGCTGTGCATACAACTGAGGGATTTTATATTTTTATCTTTCTTTTTAATGTACTGTGATTATTTATGATTTTAATGCTTTCATGTTTTGTTCAGCACTTTGAGTTGCCTCGTGTATGAATTGTGCTATACAAATAAACTTCCCTTGCCTTGCCTTGCCTTGCCATTATTATTCCTGGTATACATCACACGCTTATATTTGGCTCCCTCTATCGGCGTAAACAAGCATCGCAAGCGTCCGGGAAGAAAAGCCTCCATCACTTCCCCTCGGTAGCAGCAGCATCCTCCTCCAGCCCGGGGACACACTCCCACAGTTACACCCATGCTCGCTGCGGACTGACCGCCAAATCCAACCCTAAGAACACACCCCAGACACCGCCATGGTCAAGCAGTGCAAGGACCGCGACAGCTGGGGCGAATGTACGTATACTGCGATTTTTAACATAAGCGTTTGGTTCTTTAGGCATTTAGCGACGCGATGTGGTTAGCCTGCCAGCCAATTATACATTTATCCTCTTACTAACACATGCAGTTGGTATTTACCCGATTTAAATACATTGCACACAACTTGACAACGCGTTTCGTTGATTCAAAACGTCATAGCTGTAATAATATTGATTATTTTTCTTCTAAAATGCCAAAATAGAGGCCTCATTTGTTCATTTAGTTCCATAAACACCTCATTTCGACATTCTACACTCTCTCCAGTCATTATGAGCTGTAGAAATACACAATACTGCCACATTTATTTAGCAAATAGAATGATGCACGTTGCCAGTTATGTGAAATAGAGCATATGGCAACCTATTATATAATGTTGCATCAGTAAACAGCATGTCATTCCCCTTTACGCTGATTCCAGGCTGTTTGTCACAGATTTATGAGCAGTACAAATGTCACACATCTTTAACCAATTCCATGTTGTCTAAATGCTGCTATTGTAATCTCATATTCCAGAATTTGTATCAGAAATGCTGTAGTTCTTTCATTGTGTCTTTTGTGTTGTTGTGGTTTAAGCCTTGGTTTGGGTGAGGCTGTCATACATAGAAGAAACCTCAAGTGAACTTGATTTGGTTTATTACCTTGTTTTGAGGCTGGCAAGAAAATTCAATCGTTACTGAGAAGGAGTAGTTAATCTTGCTATTGTGTTAAAGGGGAAAAGAGATATTTTTGAATTGGGAATTTAATGTATTTTTCTCAATAACCTGCGAGATTAGCCTTCCTTACAATGAAGATAGAGTCATATTTCACATAAGCGTTTGTTTCTAGAGACTTTTTCTTGGGGGGTTGAAATATCCTGTTTATACTTCGCCCAGTGCAGGGAAAGCCCAGTGTCTAATGAATTTGCTTCATAATAGAGTTTGATTTTTTTTATATCAAGAATGCAATTTCACATGGTTTCACACAACCACAGGTTTGAAAAGGGGTTGGATGAAGCAGACTCTCACTGTTTCCCTAACCCCCTAATTCCACCCTTTTTCCACTAATATATAAAGACCAGTGAGATAGACCAGAGAGAGACCAGAGAGAGAGACCATGTCCCACCAGGAGGAGGCCTCAGGGAAGACCCAGGACACGAGACTTTGAGGGTTCCTCTGGATGAGCTGGAGGAAACGTGGCGGAGAGGGAAGTCTGGGACGGGGATTGAAAGGATCCTGTGAAAGGATGGATGAATGTTGTTGGTCCAAGGCATGACCTTGCCTGCATCAGCAAGGAATACCACAAAAAAACCATGAGAAAATTAGAAAAAACTGAGAAAGTGTGAGGCCCGTATTGAGAGAAAGATCCGCTCTTGTAGGCAGACATGACTCAGACTGTAACCTTCACCGCACGGGTTCTGGGTTCGAATCCACCTCCAGGCCTTTCTGTGTCCTCTAACACTTTCTGTGTGAAGTTTGCATACTCTCCCTGTGTCTGTGAAGGTTCCTTCCAGGCGCTCTGGTTTCCCCTACCACTAAAAACATGTACGGTAGTTTAGAACCTCCTATATAGAGATAACGTTTATTTACTTACTGGTTTTGGACATTGCAGAGAAGTGAGGCCAAGAGGCAATCACAGCTTACTCTTTACCTGATTTAAAACAATCTGAAACAGTCCATTTGTATGAATAGGTGCAAGAGCTGGTGCCTCGGTCATTCAGCAGAAGTAAGTTAACTTCCTGTAATCATCTTAGAGCTCCATTAATTTGAAAGGAGAAAGCATCACGTTTCCGGTTATGGATCAATACTCTCTTGTTCAAACTGATCCGACACCGACGTTACAGAGCAAACAGGAAGTTCAATCTGCTTCTATCTGCTTCTCTCTGCTTGTATCTGCTGTCTCATTTACGATTAAAGACCGACGAATCCCAGAGAGAAGGAGGCCCATTCTGCTCCAGTTTAAAATCAATTAATCAGTCTCTTGTAAAACTGCTATTGACAAACTGTTAGCGACTAAATCTATGGTATTGTATGTGATAAACAGGCTTTTAGATAGATAGATAGATAGATAGACAGATAGATTGATACTTTACTTATCCCCATAGGATAAATGCAGGTGTCCAGCAGCAGAAACACATCCATCCACACAAACAAATAAATAAATCATTCTGAAAGTTACTAACAATGGTAATAAAGTGCAACAGCAGCAGAGGTGGTGTAGCCTCCGGGTGGAGCAGGACAGGCCTGATACATGGCTAGAAACACTGCAAGAGAATGAAAAATAGGTCAAAAATTGTTCAAATTTGGCAACATTTATCCTAATGTGAGCATATTCTGACTGCCTTAAAACAAGATTTGCCAATGGGACAAACAAAAGGATCTGGTTTTAAAAATAAAAATATACAAGAAATGTCTCCTTGGAATGAGAAAATAAAGTAACAGATCTTGAAATAAGACTAAATGGCTTCGTCACCAATGGCAAATCTTGTTTTAAAACAGTCAGAATGAACTCAGATTAAGAAATTAACCTCTTAAATTAAGCATGCAATACCTCATATTCTATTTTTTGCAGTGTATGCCTATCTATATTTCGCCTTCCTGTTCCCCATGTAACACCTTCACCTTGTGGTGCTGCAGGGGCCCTGAACGAGAAGCAGACGTACGACTGGGACTCGGAGGAGGAGGAGGGGGTGGGTAAGGCTCGGCCGGTGCAGGTCCTGCTGGTGAAGGACGACCACACGTTCGAGCTGGACGAGAGCGCTCTGTCTCGGATCCTGCTGCACAAGGAAGTGCGCGACCGGGAGGTGGTGGCCGTGTCTGTGGCCGGAGCCTTCCGCAAGGGCAAATCCTTCCTCATGGACTTCATGTTGCGATACATGTACCACCACGTGAGTCTGGGTCTTATTCAACGTTCATCCGCCTAGGAAGTGGTCATTTCCAGATAGAACGTATTTAAAATTGCAAGCGTTATAGAGCCCCTTCCTAACTCCTTATTTCTCAGTGTGATGCTTCATCCCGTTAACTTGCCATCGGTTCTGTGTCTCACCCCATTAAATTAATGGGGTGAGACATTTAATTAAATTGAATTTTATTTTATTGAATTCAATGTATTTTTGAGAGGACTTGTTGGGGAGGTTGAGAGATACCGACTAGAGATAGTCCCTTAGAGATAGGGTGAGGAGCTCAGTCACACGGGAGGAGCTCGGAGTAGAGCTGCTGCTTCTCCCATGTTGAGAGGAACCAAATGTGGTGGTGCGGGCATCTGTTCCGGAGGCCTCCTGGACGCCTCCCTCCGGAGGTGTTCCGGGCACGTCCCACCAGGAGGAGGCCCCGGGCAAGACCCAGGACACGCTGGAGGGATTATGTCTCTCTCTGGCCTGGGAGAGAGACATAAATGAAGCAAATGGATGGATGAAGGTGTCGCGTTTGAGGACTTTACAAAGTAGTCCATTCACCTGTTTCTGTGTTGTTCAAACATAGCAAAAGTTAGAAATATGTTTGAGGCTATAGATCCAGGACTCAGGCTGTAGAACGAGGACTGATGCTTCAGCTAATAACATACATTTGCACAAGTCCCATAAATGAAAAGGACATTTATGATGCAGTGTGAAAAAGTTATATATTTTATAATCTTGTTGGGAATCAGACTCAGACAAAATGGGATCCTGTGCATCAAAGCATGGTCGTTTATTCACAAATGGCAGTTTATTCAGACAGAGCAACAGTCAAGACATGGTTTTATAGTCATTGTTACGTCACACATCGAAAGACGCTCAGAGCATATCATAGTCATAACATGGATACACAATCAGAATCCTTGTAGAGGGTTAGGGTTAGGGTTATCTAATCCTCATAATCTTAACATACATTTGGCTCTGGTCCCAGGCTCGTGAGGACTGGCTGGGGGACCCTGGAGAGCCTCTGACGGGATTCTCGTGGAGAGGAGGCTCCGAGCGAGAGACCACAGGGATCCAGATCTGGAGCGAGGTGTTTCTGGTCGACAAACCGGACGGCAGGAAGGTACAGTCTGTTTTTTTACTACTCATCCAGAATCTAACAGTCCTTCCTGTGTTCATCTCTGTGAGGAACCTCCTATTGGAGTATTTTATCCCATTTTTCCAGCAGGTGCCTGTACAACTCTATGGGAAAGAAGCAGTTTTTGAAAGAAATGTTGGAAAATTGATATTCCTGTTTCCCAGATAATTTTATAGTGATAAGATAAGATCCATTGTTATTACTATGTCTAAAAGTTCTTTCTCCAAAAATCTTGTTACCAAATCTTGATATTAGGCATAAACCAATGAGATATAGACATAACAGAACAAAAGAATATTCATCCCCACATTATTTTTCGGTGGATAGCGTTGGTCCTGTTTGTTGTTCCAGGTGGCGCTGTTGCTGATGGACACTCAGGGCACGTTCGACAGTCAGTCCACGCTGCGAGACTCAGCCACGGTGTTCGCCCTCAGCACCATGATCAGCTCCATGCAGGTCACACTGTTTACACATTTGTATTTATATTACTATGTTTGCCAACACGCTAATCAACATGTTATTCCTTTTCCTATTTGAGATGAGAGAAACCTTATATTATTTGTCCCTCAGTTGTAAATTTCAATGTCATAGTTACAGCCGAATAGAAGTCCTGCCCTTTGTAGCCTCAGTTCTTGTTCTACAGTCTGAGTCCTGGATCTACAGCCCGTCCGTCTGTGGGAGCGGATCTCAATTTAGGCCTCCCCAAGGTTTCTCACTTTTGCCCATGGTCTTTTTATTAGAGATTTTCCTTTCCGATGCAGGACGGTCTAAGGGGATGATCCTCGGTATTTATTGACATTGATCATCTGCCCCTTATGGACCAATGGCTCTATGTGTGTTTTTATCATTGCTTTCCTGTGAATTCTTTGATTCTCTGATCTTTGTTGGTGAATTCCACGGCTTTCTAAACTCCTCCAAGATAACTACTGTTGTGATTTAGGGCTATACAAAAATACATTGAATTAAAATGCATAGAAGGAGAAATAAGAGCACGGCAAGATGATTTATCAATCATTAAGATAATAGATAATAAAATAATGAAATAATAAGATAATCGACTCTGGAGCTATGATTCTTCTTGGGTCAAGAATAAGTACTTTAATTTTAATAATGACTTTATTTCATGTTGTGTTTCAGGTTTACAACATCTCACAGAACGTACAAGAGGACGACCTTCAACATTTACAGGTAATACAAGTTGTAACTATAGGATAAACAAACCTTTCTGTTAAAACAATAGACTGTATTAGTGTGGACTGACTGAGTGTGACATCACCATAGTGTTAGCCTTCATTTAGAAGAGGTAGGTTTTAGAGTAAGCTAGCTGGAGCCCATTTCCTTATATGGACTTTAGTACTGACGGCTTGTTGCCGTAACAGGAGTAGACGTGTTGCTAAGATGGTTGCTAAGGCTAACTGTAGTTTCCCCTGCGAATGAAGGAATCTGATTGGTCAATCCTTATAGGGCTCATATCTGGATTTACAAAGACAATATCATAAATGCAAGTTTATTTGTATAGCACAATTCATACACAAGGCAATTCAAAGTGCTGAGCAAAACAAGATAACATTAAAATCATAAATAACACTGGGTAACAAAAAAATATTTTTTGAAAATAGTCCAGGGTTTTCCAGCTGAATTAGACTAATTTTGATGCTCTGAGTCCGAAAATGACCTTGGTTTTGCTCAATCAGGTCAGGATTTTTTGCTGCAGAAATATTTTTTTAAATCGATTTTGCGTAAAAAACAAATTTCTGCGGATCATCAGCTGAGAAACCCTTGACGGTTTTTCCGTTTTCCTCACGAAATAAAAGTCAACGTATCCAAAGTCATTCCGTTTTTATTTACTCCATCAAATTTGATAAGCAGAATTCATAATAACGTAGACGTACGTAATCCGTAACACTATGGCTGTATCTCAAAAAGTTGACCTGATAGAGCAAAATGCATGTGATATTCGGACTCAGAACACCAAAATTAGTCTAAATCAGTTGAAACCCCTGACCATTTTTTGCTGTCAACTTGTGTAATCACAGTACATTAAAAAGAAAGATAAAAATATAAAATCCCTGTTGTATGCACAGCTAAACAGAACAGTTTTTAACCTGGTTTTAAACATTGTCAGAGAGGAGGCCTGTCTCACATCTTCTGGAAGACTGTTCCAGATTTTAGCAGCATGAATCTGAAAAGCAAACCCCAGGATCATAGAAAGTGCTAAAGCAACAGGAGCCTGAGCAATTTGGAGCAAAACGTCGTCAATGAGCACTTTCCTGTTGGGTCTCCTTGAGCTAGCATGTTAGCGTTGTCCAACAGTATGTATTTAGAACAAAAGGGCTAATCCTATTGTTTTATTGTTCTAAAGCTCTTCACTGAATACGGCCGACTGGCGATGGAGGAAACATTTCTCAAGCCGTTTCAGGTACATTTTATTATCGTATTCTATTATTAATTTTATATTTACATTTTTACTTTTTAAACTCTCACTGTTTTCCTCAGTCCATGATTTTCTTGGTACGAGACTGGAGCTTTCCGTACGAGTTTCCGTACGGACAAGAAGGAGGCATGAAGTTCCTGGAGAAAAGACTCAAGGTGAATAATGTGAATAATCTTTTACGCAGTTACAGAATGATGTTGTTTAGATTTAGTTCAATATTGAGCTAAAAATGTGCCCAACTTTCAAACCACAGAAAATGTAACGATATCCATCTAACCCAAAACAGTTTGGTTCTGAGTAACGCCAGTTTATCACAGCTTTAGATCAACTTTTACAGACCGAGAAGTGAGAAAGGTGAAGTGATGCTTAATTTGTCCCACAGTGGCGAGATTTCTGTCATGGAATGAAATGAAGAACCCAAAAATGCAGGAATGTCATAAATAATGATTTAATGATGATAAAAGTACAGGGTGAAACAGGACAAGGAGGTAAAACTAAAAAACTATGTACAAAATAACAAAACAATCCCTCCCTGACAATTACCATTTTACAGAACAGCAGGAATGAGGAGCACACATCACAAGATAAAAGAACACAGCTCTATACTCTATACTAAATACAATAACATAAAATACAATTCTCTAGCTTTAGCATAATAAGGAAGCAATCTATAATCTCCAGCTTTAATGTAATGAAGAGGCATTAACAACATTTAATTGGCTGAAAGATAGACCAGAGAGAGGCTAGAAAGAGACCAGAGAGAGAGAGACCAGAGAGAGAGAGACCAGAGAGAGAACCGAAGGAGATCAGAGAGATCAGAAAGAGAGACCAGAGAAAGACCAGAGAGAGAGACCAGAGAGAGAGACAAGAGAGAGACCAGAGAGATAGACCAGAGAGAGAGTCCTGACAGAGAGACCAGAGAGATAGACCAGGGAGAGAGTCCTGACAGAGAGACCAGAGAGAGAGACCAGAGAGAGAGAGAGATAAGAGAAAGATGCCAGAGAGAAAGACCAGAGAGAGAGGCCAGAGAGAGAGACCAGAGAGAGAGAGACCAGACATAGAGGCTAGAGAGACAGACCAGAGAGAGAGGCCAGAGAGAGAGACCAGAGAGAGAGACCGCAGAGAGAGACCAGAGAGAGACCAGAGAGAGAGAGAGACCAGAGAGAGAACCGAAGGAGATCAGAGAGATCAGAAAGAGAGACCAGAGAAAGACCAGAGAGAGAGACCAGAGAGAGAGACCAGAGAGAGAGACCAGAGAGAGAGGCTAGAAAGAGACCAGAGAGACTAGAGAGAGACCAGAGAGAGAGAGGCCAGACAGAGAGACAAGAGAGAGACCAGAGAGATAGACCAGAGAGAGAGAGAGTCCTGACAGAGAGACCAGAGAGATAGACCAGAGAGAGAGAGACCAGAGAGAGAGAGATAAGAGAAAGATGCCAGAGAGAAAGACCAGAAAGAGAGGCCAGAGAGAGAGACCAGAGAGAGAGACCGCAGAGCAGTGGCGGCTGGTGGAATTTTCTACTGGGGGGGCTATGAATATGATGACTAGATATATACCAGCAGGGTAGGGATGCTTTCTGATCCCTACCCTGTAGCTTTCATCCAGCTGGGATGAAATATTTATCTTCCCAAACATAGCTAATTTGAGGGCATGTTGCATGTGGATACCAGTCTGCTCATGCTTCTTTGCCTTTTCTAAAAAGTGCTTCAGATCAGTCATACCTGTCTTGATCCATGCTGGGTCAGATCCTGATGTTTGAAACAAGAGGCATGGAAAGCAAAATAAAGCATTAGCCTCGCTACATGCTGCTAGCCAAGATTTGGCGCTGAACCAGGTCCTGGAAAAAGTACGAGTACCGTCTCCCCCTGTCGCTGGATTGCTGACTAATGGTAATATTTGGCTGATCAGGTCCAAGCTCTTTAACCTCAACCTTCTCCTGGTATGATCTTCTCTCAAACGGTATTGTTTTGAGTGATCTAACTGAATTATTCTTTTTCTCGTTCTCCATTTTGCGTCTCTTTACGTTCGTCTCAAACTCCCACAGCTTGACCTGTCAATCACTGTAAACGGACGTCACAGACAGTGACAGTACAGGTCGCGGGCGACCCCGCCCCCTCAGGGCGCACTTCTCCTGCGCCCCCAAATCGTCTTATCTCTTGCATTGAAGAGGAGCTACTGCGCATGTACAACTTTTAACGAGAGTCCACAGACGGCTCAGGGCGCAATCTTTTGCGCCCTGAGGCGGAAATACGTCCTCAGTCCGACACAGACAACGCTGATGAGCTTAATCAATCCAACTCAGCATAAACTATAAAGTATTTCTTCCACATCTGAAATAAAACACACATACATTTCGAAATATTTTAATGTTATTATTTTTTTTAACGTTTTATCCAAGGTAACATGGCAAGTTGTGAGTGGTGGGGCGGCGCCCTAGCGCCCTCTATTGGCCGGCCGCCACTGCCGCAGAGAGAGACCAGAGAGAGGCCACTTTAGCATGATAAGAAGTTAGAATTAGCTGAATATTTTATGTTTTATATGTTATTCCAATTTGCACCTGAATGATGTATTACCTGTATTTATTATCTTCTATTTCCTTTATTATTGTATCTTTTGACACTTTAAATCTGTCCATTTCTTGCTATATATTCATACTTAAGTTTTGAGCTACTGTGTGTGATTGACCTTGTGGCTGGATAAAGTTTGTCTAAGCGTAGTTTTGTGTTTCCTCAGATCTCGGAGAACCAGCACGAGGAGCTGCAGAACGTCCGCAAACACATCCACTCCTGCTTCACAAACATCTCCTGTTTCCTGATGCCGCATCCAGGACTCAAAGTGGCCACAAACCCAAACTTTGACGGACGCATCAAAGGTCCTTTATCCAGTCGAGGATTTAAAAATATAACAATAATGTGAAGTGTATACAGCGAGTATCTAAGGACTCCAAAGCAGAAATAATATCTTGTTAGACTTAAAGCTGTGGGACCTTAAGAGAAAACAATTCAAAAAGGTTTATTTTGTCTTGTGAAGGTAAAATGTTTTTGTGGTTCTTTTGATGCCGTACTTTCTCCACTTTCTAATTTCAATCACCTTCTCATCAATCTTGTCTTTCAAAAAAATCACCAAAAACTAAATAATTAGCAAACATTTGAACAATTACATAGCAAACAATTGAACTATGGACCTGTTTCCACCAGCCCTAATCTGCTGTACCATTTCAGTGTAACTTGTGATGCAACACTGAAATTTCCCCGCTTTGGGACGAATAAAAGATCTCTTAATCTCCTCATCTTAATTTGAATCTTAATCATATTCTTTCCCAATTGTAAGCGTTTCCTCCGGCCCAGTTAAACCAGTTCCAGGTACTTTTTAGCGCCTGCTTTGCCCTGGTTCTGTCCAGGCCCAGTCTCTGTCTCTGTGCAAGTTCTTGAACCTCCAGTGAACAATATTTTCAACTCAAGACAAAATGAACCTTTTTGAATCATTAGGAGTAAATAATATAGATTTGTAGGTAATAGAAAGAGTCTTATAAAATGCCATGTTTAAAAAAAAAAAATATCAGATCACATCATGCATGAGTGAGAAAGAGCCCTATGAGTCACTATTTGACTGTCTGAGCTGATTGGCTGAGTGAGGGTGGTTCTCTCTTTCTCAATTTTTGTCTGTAAAAGCTGATCTAAAGATGTGACAGAGGCCAAAAGCACCTTGTATCTTAGAAAGAGCTATACTTTAGAAATGTTTTAGAAATGTTTTATTATGACTACTTTTGACTTGTTTTCACCGAGAGCCAAAGCAAGTTTAAAATGTCTAGCTTTAACATAATAAAGAAGCAAGTATGAAATTGCTAACTTTAGCATTATAAAGACGCAAGTATAGGTGGTCGTTAGTCCTCATTGTTCGTTGCGCAGTCTGACAGCAGCAGGAAGAAAAGACCTGTAGAGCCTCTCCTTCCCACATCAAAGGAAATTGACGCATCATTTTGAAATTGTTGCAGAAATCGACGGCGAGTTCATAAACAACCTGTGTGTGTTGGTGCCGTGGCTGCTGAGTCCAGAGAACATCGACGTGAAGGAGATAAACGGCAGTAAGATCACATGCAGGGGCCTCCTGGAGTACTTCAAGGTCGGACGCAAAAACACACGCAATCTCAGCCTCTCCCGTGTCTCTGTCTCAAACCTGAACATGTGCTATTCCAGGCTTACATCAAGATCTACCAGGGAGAGGAGCTGCCACACCCCAAGTCCATGCTCCAGGTTATTCTACCAAGATTTACAAATACAAATGCGCAAAATATAGAGTTACATTTACTGTTTTTTTGTCTCTTTTCAGGCCACAGCTGAAGCCAATAATTTAGCAGCCGTCGCCGCAGCCAAAGATTTGTACAATAAGAAAATGGAGGAGGTAAAGAACAAGCTTCTCCAACTCGTGTTTAATTCAATTGCTATGGATTGATTGATTATGATTAGTATATAAGAGTGCAGCTACTATATAGGATTAAGCCTAGCGTACATCGACAGAGTAACTGGAGACAACTAGTTGCAAGGCCGCTTTTGGCAACTGAGAGTACACGATGGGAGATGATCAGTTGCCGAAATCGGTCGATGTGAACGCTCTTACAACTGGAGATAAACAGTCGATCTCCGGATTATGTCAGTTGCCCGTGTTCTGCTTTTCGGCAACTAGTTATCCTCAGATCCGAAGATATCACCCGATGTGCGCGCTCCAACAACATGTGTATTGCGTGTATTGCCCGCCCTCTACAGTTTATGCCAGAAAACACACTGTAGTTGAGGCCAGTTGCTACAGTGCTTGATGTACGCGCTGTTATTCCCGAGGCTGGCCTGCTACTAGGAGTTGCCCGTTTTCGCCAGATTGTCGATGTGTGCGGGGCAGCAACTCATAGGCGACGGATATTATCAGTTGCCAGTCCGATGTACGCTAGGCATTACTCTTCATCTCTGGTCTTTTTCTTTCTGGTCTATCTCTGGCCTGTCTCTCTGGCCTCTCTCTGTCTTGCTGGTCTTTCTCCCTCTGGTATCTCCCTCTAGCCTCTTTCTCTCTGGTCCCTCTCTCTCTGGCCGCCCTCTCTCTGGCCGCCCTCTCTCTATACAACTACACACATTAAATTCAATATCTAAAACCCTCTCTCTTTCTCTCTTCCTGCTCTTTCTCTCTGGTCAGTTTTTCTCTCTGGCCTCCCGCTCTCTATACTTCTACGCACATTAAATTCAAATGTCTGTGTTTCCGACATCTCAAACCCTCTCTCTCTCTATCTCCCAGGTTTGCGGCGGCGACCGTCCATTCCTGGCGCCCTCCGAGCTTCAGTCTCGCCACTGCTCCATCCGCGACGAGTCCCTGCAGCTGTTCCGCTCCGTGAAGAAGATGGGCGGCGAGGAGTTCAGCCGCCGGTATCTGAAGCAGCTGGAGACCGAGATCGACGACGTCTTTGTGCAGTACATCAAGCACAACGACTCCAAGAACATTTTCCACGCCGCCCGCACCCCCGCCACTCTCTTCGTGGTCATCTTCATCATGTACGTGGCGGCGGGCATCACCGGGTTCGTGGGCGTGGACATCGTGGCGAGTCTCTGCAACATGATCCTGGGCCTGGCTCTGATCACGCTCTGCACCTGGGCGTACATCAGGTACTCTGGGGAGTACCGCGAGCTCGGGGCTGTGATCGATCAAGTGGCTGGAGCTCTGTGGGACCAGGTAACTGTGAATATACTATACGTCTGTTTCCACCAGCCCTACGTGGCTCTAGTCTACTTTACTTGGTCCTACTCTACTCTACCGTGGTTTTGTTTTCTATTACGTTTCAGGATCTGGTACCATGTCCTAGCAACCTCATAACAACAAACCAGTAGAGTAAAGTAGGGCCACACCGCAAAAAGTTATGAAAAATAGAGTCAATGATCAAAAAATGATCAAATTTGGCAAAATCCATTGTAATTTGAACACGTTTTGCATTAAAACAAGATATGCAAATGCGAAAATGATCTCGTTTTAAATAGATACAACCAATGTCTTCCTTGGAATGAGAAAATGAAGCAACTGTTCTTGAAATAAGACTAAATGCCTTTGTCCCATTGGCAAATCTTGTTTTAAGTCAGAATGTTCTCAAATTAAAATAAAAACCACTAGTTTCAAGCAAATATCACCTCATATTTGATAATGTTTTGCTATGCTAGTTGGTCTGGAGGCTTATGCTGCTGAATAGAGTGTTACCAATGGAACTATTTTTATTTATTTTACTACATTATTTTCTGTGATTTGAAAATGTTATGTACCCCAGCTTTAACTACTATGTTGCCACCGTGTTTCTATAATAATATCGAGATTGACCACAAGTCAACATAAAAACAAAACTGTTTTTCTCTGGCAACCACTAGGTGTCACTAAGCACATATGATTTAGACTTTATCCAAGACACCAGAAGTTACAAAATTTTACAATGATTCCAAAAATAAATAAAGAATTTAATTGTATTTTTTATAGATGTAAAAAAAAAAAATACAAACATGTAATTTGTGAAGTAACCCATTGTTCTTTTGTTTATGCCTCTGCAGGGAAACACAAATGAGGTAAGATTATATTGACTTTTACACACTTTTCAAACATAAAGTCTATCAGCAGCAGATTTAACATGGCGAGTTATAGGTAAAGCGCTAAACAAATAAATGTAATCGTTAATTTGAAAAAACAGAAAAACAGTTCCATTAAAATAATATTTGAAAGGATTAAGTTGAAGATTGTAGCTTGAGGAATACAACTTTCTCAAAATAGTTCGGTCTATTCCAAAGCAGGAAGTGAAATGATAAACATAAAGGCAAGATTTCTGGCTGTAGATCCAGGACTGAGGCTATAGATCCAGGACTGAGGCTGTAGATCCAGGACTGAGGCTATAGATCCAGGACTGAGGCTGTAGATCCAGGACTGAGGCTGTAGATCCAGGACTGAGGCCGTAGATCCAGGACTGAGTCTGTAGATCCAGGACTGAGGCTATAGATCCAGGACTGAGGCTGTAGATCCAGGACTCTAATCGTGTCTTGTTTTTGTGGACAGGCTCTGCATAAGCTTTACAACGTAGCTGCCAGCCACCGGCACCTGTACCACCACGCCTTTCCAGGACACCACCCCGAGGAGGAGCGAGGGGAGAGGGACCGAAAGAGGGACTGAGCTGGACTTGAAACCCACAGAGAAGAAAGAAACACTCACCAAACCACGAGAAAGAAACCAAACCACGTCCAAAACGTTGTGATTGGCAACGTTCACTTTTCCACAAGAGCGGGAAGAGACGGCTTTGGGAACTGTGCAGAGCCTGAAGAAGGGAATCTTACTGCAGAGAACACAGACGAGAGAGAGAGAGAGAGAGAGAGAGAGAGGAGGAAGAAGAACAACAGGCAGATGGGAATAATGTTAAATAGTTTGAATCAATATTATACAGTAAATGAGAATATTAAAGCTGGCATTTCACAATTTATGATTATTGTGAACTTGCCAAAAACAGTAGCCAGAAAGATTTAATTTTGCTTTGTAAGAAATTGCTTCTATTTCAACGCTTCACCCACTCCTCTCCCACTGCTCTCTCTCTATCGCCCTGTTTCCACCTACTCTACTCTGCTCTACTCTACTCTGTTGCAGAGTATTCAGTTCAATTTATTTTGAATAATGATAAAAAAACACAAAGCCATTGGTCCATAATGGACAGTGTTGGGGAAGTTACTTTTAAAAAGTAACTTTTGTGTTAATGTTATTAATTATCCACTGCAGTCTATGCTATCCACTAAAAGCTGTGAAACCAAGGAGGCGCGTTGAGACCATAGATTATCATTAACTTTGCATTGAAACTGGATACAATGAATGAACTTTACGCTCTGAACCAATGAGAAGCTAGGAAACCTATTGAGGCAAGAAACGCTTCAACACAGTTGATACACAAAGCAAAGCAGTGGCTGCTGAGTCCGAGACACAGACACGGTTGTCACGTGACTGTTTTGATACACGCTCCAACACAGTAGTTGGAAGCAGTTTGTTTGGAGAAGAGCAACACACGCTCCGGAGCCTCTGTGTTGTTTGCCCGTCACTAAAAACATTAGCAACGTTGTGGTGGATCCAAAAATAAACGGCTTTACGTTACTGAATTGTCACTAGTTAATGTGTTACTTTACTTCCCCCCGGAAAAAGTAGTTTTGTTTGTAATTTTGTTAGGGACAGATGACCAATGTCTAAAATGTTGATAAATGTTTTGACATGTAGAGTAGAGTAGAGTAGAGTAGAGTAGAGTAGAGTAGAGTAGAACCAAGTAGCGGTGGTGGAAACAGGGCTTTTCTCTCTGATGCACTTGTACAAAACTTTTCGTTCCTTTTTCCAGTTTCTTTTCTCTCTGTTCTGTTCCAGTGCTGATTGAACGATAATGTCCAGATCCTACATATGTATAGATGTTACTAACCTCCATCTTTCGCATGATAATTAGCCCGTCACCTTTGAGCTAGCGTTTTGTTGTCGTGACTAAATGTTTTTCGTGCCATAACAATTGCAGTATATAAAACGTTAGAGCTTTAATTTAAAGATGGAGAGCTCTATTTCTTGCTGAGGGACCATAAAGATAAGTAACTGTTTCGATGTATGTGAAATATTAGTGGGAGGAGGTAAGAAAAATGCAGTTTTTGTTGCATTAAGCGAAGAAGGAGCTAAGATCAAAGCCATACCTCTAGGTTATTCTCCATTTGAGACTTTAGAGATGGCTACAGGAGCTTTGATTAGAGCCACTGCTCCTAAGGCACTGTTGTCAGAGGAGCTGAGACATATGTCTGTGTAACTTCTTCTCAGAGTAATAAGAAATATTTTGTGTTTATTTGTCCCTAAGCATTATTTTCCTTCACTTTTTTATGAATGTGAAATTATTTTTTCAGTCAAAAATAGATGGATAAACACGAGAAATGGAGTAGGAGATGACTAGAATGTGCCAACACATACATCTAGTGGTAGAAATAGGAATTACAGTCTGTTTTTTGTGTGTCAAGATTTAACCCTTTAGTTATATACTGTAGTTTAATGTTAAAGCTTTGGTACCTGACTTTTTTCCACAAATATTATTATTTGCCGTCTTCATGTGATTAGAAAACAAATCTTGTTGCTTACTTGTCAGAAAGAGCCCTGGGAGCCTTTGGGCTGAGAGCTGATTGGCTGAGTGAGGGTGGTCCTTTCTTTTTCACTTTTCTGTCAAAAAATTTAACAGCGGCCAGAAAATGATTTAATAAAACTGTTTAGCGAGCTAGGAGTTAGTTTAAAGACATTGTAGTTTAAAAGTTACATACCCCAGCTTTAAGGTATGCTTTATTGACCCCAGTATCCTCTGTCCTCTGTATTTGACCCACCCTTCAATGCCACAGGGGCCATTTCCAAATATCGATGGTCTTGGCGCATATTTTGGGTGGTGGGGGAAACTGGAGCGCCTGGAGGAAACCCACCCAGACACGGGGAGAACATGCAAACGTCACAGGATTAGAGGAGTTCAGAGTTGAGTCGGGCCAAGTAGGACTGGTGGAAACAGGGCCATAGAGAGCTCTAAACCACGGTGTTTTTAGCCCAAAATTGTGATAGTGACACTAACAGTAACTGAGCTTTAACAACAAAAACACAACTGCTGGGGAAAGAAACGTTATTCCATCTCTGTCCTAGATAGAGAAATGGATGGAACTAGCCTTAGCAACACTAATGATAATAACGCATCAATCAACACTCAAAGACAACATAATCATTCTTTCACTCTGGTAAACTACTATTGTAGCCACAGCTGCCCTGCTTTTCACATTGGCAAATCTTGTTTTAAGGCAGTCAGAATGCGCTCGAATGAAGAGGCAATTTGCCAACTTTGGAATAATTTTTCATCACTTTTTGCAGTGTAGAGATTCTTATTTACAAAATATGAGTCAAATATGTTCTGTGCTTTTGGATTAGCAGAGGATTTAATTTGATTTTATCGTCGGAATGCCACTAAGCTCCAAAGTTTTGCTCAGACTTCATGCATTTTTAGCGTGGTTCGTTTTTGAGGTTTTGGAAATGTCATGCTTCTGCTGCTGCTGCGGTTTTTCCAGTCTTCCACAAAACTGAAATCAAAATATCGACCTAAAAGTGCAAAGAAATAACCACGTTCTGGCAGCTTGAAAATTTCAAATCTGGGTTATTAGTGGAGGATTGATGAATTTATGAATGGAGTATGAAACTGAAATACTACTTATGAATCCATTAAGGTTAAAGCTGGGGTGCCTAACTTTAAAACCACCACATTTTTAAATCCATCAAACCACTTTATTTTTTAGCACTGAAAGTTAATTTATTTTTAATGCATTATTTAGCAATACAATTCTTAATATACACAATGTAGACCTTTGAAAACATTTGACCTAGGATCTACTACTACGCTGTTTGACCTGACACATTTTTTGGTTCAGATTTTTCAGAAAGAAATTTTAAAAAGAATGGACCACCCTCACTCAGCCAATCAGCTCTCAGCCCAAATAGTCAAATAGTGACTCACAGGGCTCTATCTTACACAAAAGATGTTTTCTGATGAGATGGAGACAGAATGTTGTCTTGTTCACTATTTATGGAAAAAAAAAAGGTTAGATACCCCAGCTTTAAGTAAAAGCTGGGGATCTAGTTTAGTTTGGATATTTTAAAAACTTTCCGATCACTATTATGAAACAATACTTTTAGTTTGAATGTTTTTAGTGGCTGGGGAAACCGGTGCACCTGGAGAAAACCTACACAGACACAAGGAAAACATGCAAACTCCATACAGAAAGGTCCCGGCAGGAGGTGGAACAGAACCCAGGACCTTCTTGTGAGGCCCAAACGCTAACCACTGCGCTACTGTGCGGTTAGCGGGTTAGCATTGTCCATCTATGTACAGTCTATACTGGAAATGCACAATTTGGGCTAAAATCACAGCTAATCTATGACAAAAGTGCTTCAATTGTATTTTTTATGTAGTTCATTGTTAAAGAGCAAGTTTATAAATATCTCTAAGATCAACAAAAATATTGGACAGCATCCCTAGACTTCAGATCAACTAACCCAGGTTTATTTAAGAATACACTTTTTGAAATCATTTGTACAATTTTGTGTTTGAATATGGAGTTTTTTGTGTATAGTCACTTTCCACAAGTTAAATTTATTTGTGTAAAAAATCTATCGCTTGTTTTCACATTCTTGTACAGAAACCTCAAGATTCACTGCAGCTGAAAGAATAAAAAAAGTTGGACCAAATTAACAAAAACAGTCATTTATTGAAAGAGTTTTTGTTTACCTTTTATTTATGTACAATGTTGTTTGTGTTTGAAGTGAACTGAATCTTCTCGGAAACATCAGAGTTGATTTACCATTTTAAATACTCCAAAAATTACTTGGTGTTTTACAAGTGAAGCAAAAACAAAGTTAAATGTGGAATAAATTTGTACATTCAAAATGTTGGATCAGTTTTATAAGTGAATAACTTGGTAAGCCCCGCCCACTCTCGCCCCAGCCTCCTGATTGGTCAAAATTAAAGCAAATCCTTGAGGCCCCTTGTCATTGGTTTAACTTTTCTCCTCCAGCGACTCTTACTGGTTGAAGTTATGCCAAAGGGGAGGGACTGTTTTAAATGTGATAACGTTATTTATTTGTATAAACAATATCACATTTTGACTTGGAAGATTTTGACTATGAAATTGAACAAAGCATAATAACTTAAAACAATCTTAGAAAGTCAGTGATTTGTAAAGTGATAGATTGAAGTAAATTAAAAAGGTATACAGGAGGACTTTCCCAAATCTCCACTTATTGAACAAAACACTCTGGTCTTATTTGACAAACACAAATCACCAGAAGTGAGTTAAATGAAACAGTACGGTTCTGTTTAATTGATAAGTCACTTATAATTAAATTCAAGTGGAAAAAATGGGTCGCTATCGTAACTTAACTTTATAAACTAAATCGAATTCTAGATTTTAGTACATTTATAGAAACAAAAACCTTTGTTTGGGGTTTAATAAAAAAAAACCCTAATACGAATAAATTATTAACATGAATCACTTTTAGGAATGAATAATATTGCACTTGATTGTTGCTCATTTTGAGCAGTGATACTAGTTTGAAGTCTATCTTGTTTAACAATTTGTCTTAAACCACACAGTAAAACTTGTTACATTTCAAAAAATTGTCTTGTAAATTTTAATAAATACATATAAATCTATTTTAATTTGCTTTTTGTTTGTTTATGAATAAAAAGGTCAAATATTAAAAGCTCAATATTTTGCCACAGAAAACACAGTTCACTTCAGCACATTCTGCAGAAACAGGTTAAAAACGTCTGAAATACCATAAACAAACAAAGCTGGAATTGCACTTTTTTGGCAAAACTAGTATCGTATGAAGTGTATAAATCATTTTGTTTTTAGAAGGAAAAAGTTGATTTTTTTTTTTCTCTTTTTGTTGTTGTCACATGAGAAAATGATATTCGAACAAGTTTCATTTGGTCTGTTAAATACAAAAATACAATCAACCAACAGAGCGGCAGTCTTCCTAGCACCAAAGACAGGACGACAGCACCATCTGCCGACTTCTTCAGGACAGAATCCCAGGTGTGTGACAGTGTAAGAGCCCCCCTCGTCCTGTTTATGGTCCAGGACTTTTCTAGATTCAACAAAATGTATGGACTTTATCAACAGTGGTCATCTGCCCCTTATGGACCAATACCTCTATGGGTTTTAAACTTTTTGACACACATTTGTTGAGTTTGAACTGGTTGATTCTCTAATCTGTGTTGGCGAATTCAACAGTTGTGATTTAGGGCTATACAAGAATATATAAATGCCATAACCTTGAATTAAGAATACTCAACTTTTTCCTTATAAAAACCAACCCAGTTTACACACGGCTTTCGCTTCCAGTAGCTTATGTGTCTTTGATTACATTGAATAACATGAACAGTATAATGTCTGTACAGAGATGAGCTTTTAAATAATGTCATAGTAAAGTCACTTAAATATGTGGTGGATTTTTGGTGGATTGTCTTAAAAAAAAACCAAAAGAAACAATAACATATCATTTACAATCTGATGTAGTGTTTTTGGAAGCTGCCGGAAGGAACAAAGCACAGTTTGGATACATTTGGATTCCATTGGTAAATTTCTCTCCGCAAAAAAATTGTCAAAACTTGCACGTCCAATCCGATCCATGGCATTCTCAGTCATCCGTCCCATCGTTTCTTCCTCATACCGGCTTTCAAAGTCCATCGAGTCATACACTGTAGTGTTTAATCGTCGCATATTTTTGGAATAAGGCACAAAGTCCACCCACATTACACTCATCTTGGAAGCAATCTCAAATAAAAGAGCGTTCAAAGTCCCGTCCTTTTGTGATATTTGGTTTGAGTTTGAGCTAAAAGACGTCCAAACCCCAGTTTTATTGCATCCAATTTTGACGCTTTGAAAGAAATAAATAAAGCTCAAGCCAGATTTAATAATAAGCTAAATGTATCTGAATTTGAGCACATTTTGACTGCCTTATTTGCCGATGGGAAAAAATGATCTTGTTTTAAAAAGATAAAAGAAATGTCTCCCTTGGAATGAGAAAGTAAAGCAACAGTTCTGGAAATAAGACTAATATCTTACAGTACAGTCATTGTACTCAAATTAAGAAGAAAACCAATCGATTCAAGCAATTATTACCTCCTATTTACCATTTTTTGCTTTGGAATTCCAATGTGGTTTTGCTGCAGATGGCACATACACTGAATTTGTCCAATACTTCATCTGTGTTTACTTAAATATAGTTTTATCCATGTAAGCCAATTCGATCTGCTTCCAGTCCCAAAACCCATGACCAAAGGCGAGGACGGAAAATGGGAAATTATTGTTATTTCCAAATTCTATTTCACAAATAGACTGGACTGGTCTTAGTAGAAATAAAGGCTTTACCTTCTTCTATACTAGGTATAACATCGCTAACTCACTATTCTCTGGTATAGAAGATAGAAACTTGATTTAGACTGAACTTTTGTATGTTTGTGTATGCATGGCAATAATATCCAAATATGCCTCTTTCGCTTCAAGACTTCAGCAAAAGGCATCCCAACTTAAGCTCCAGCAACCTCTTGTTTTCTTCCCAGTCTGTCAGGTAGCTCAATTAAAAGCAAATATAAAAAAGCACCTTATAAATATATTTACGGTTGTGATTGAAAGTTTGCACACACAGACCTTGTTTTTTGCCATATCAGAGATTACAAACGAGAGCACACACCGTCTGTGGGATGGAGAATTTGTTGTTATAATCTTTATGCATGTGCTATAAATGGCTTCACTAGGTGAAGAAAAATGTTTCATTCATAAAAATCACCAAAATATAGTGGTCGCTCACTGTAACGCAGTTCAACCTTTGTGGATTTTTACACCGAGTTCTATGGGATATTTTTCTGGGTAGCCCACTTGAAATTAGTCTGCAGTACCACAGGCGCCCCCTGTGCCCATTGGTGGGACAGCTATAAACTAGTAATACCATATCCAGTTATTATTATAGATCCATAATCCATGGTGACGCCATACCATTTTCGACTTTGTTTTTATTATTATTATTTTTTTTAAATCACCTAGTTTTAAACGTTTTTCCCCGTTTGATATCTCTGATCGCACTTCAGCGGTCGTGAGTTCAGGTGGATAGAAAAGTGTATCAAGTGGATGAAGATTTTTACTGCCTTAAATCACATACATTGCCAAAAAAGTATAAAATATGGATGTAATAATTGCTTGAATAGAGTAGTTTTTTCACCATCGGAACAAAGCCATTCAGTCTTATTTGAAGACTGAATGGTCCACGTTCTGTAGATAGCTTAGGTCCTAGATCATTAGCCTGTCCGTCCGGAGGAGCGGATCCCTTTCTCATATGGGTCTCCCTCCCTGTGGGTTTCCCTAGTTCTCCCCAAGGTTTCTCACTTTTTCCCACTGGGTTTTTTAAGAGTTTTTCCTTGTCGATGCAGGAGGGTCTGTTGGACAGTTAGTGTCCAACAGAAAGGATTGGTGATGATCAGGACACTTAGGCATTCTACAACATGTATGGACATTTTCTTCTGTGTGTGCTTTATATTTTTCATGTGTTTTAACTGTTGATTCTCTGACCTGTGTTGGTGATTTCAATGGTTTTGTTAAGTCCTCTGAGATGACTTCTGTTGTGATCTAGGGCTATACAATAATAAATTGTATTGTATTGTTACTAAATTTTCTCATTCCAATAGGACAGTTCTTGTATCTGCACTGCATATACAAGAACTATCCTACAAATCTTGTCATAAGGCACTCAAACTGTGCTCGATTTAAAATACATTTTGCCAGCTTTTTGTTGTACAGCTGCTACTTTGTGGATCTCACTTATTGTGCTCTGTTTTAGAACACAAACAAACGAAGGACCATTGTATGGTCAAAAACAATATTTAAAATTTCTGCCTGAGTCAACTTTGAGGCACAACTGTAGTTTGGCTTGTTGCTTGGTCTTAGACCTTGGCACCATCATAAAACTGGCTCTATTCCCATTCAGTTCACAGTAATAGTAGCCCTTTCCCCGTTGCTTTCTCAATGCAGGACACCACCCAAAATGTGGAGCAAGCCCCTTGTTTTTCGTCTTCAGCTCTCGCCATCATCTCTCTGTGTCGCACAAAAGGCACCGGTCGCAGTCAGTTAGCGATGAACTCCCGTGTCACATGTTTTTTATGTAGTTTTGCTTGGGTTGCTGCGCCGCGTACCACTGCTGCTGCCTCTGCTTGCGTCCCTCTACCTCAGAGATCAGCGCTTGTCTGTAGGCCTCGTACGACTTGACGATGTGCTCCAGTTCCTTCATGAACAGCAGCTTCAGCATCCCCTGGTACGTGTCCAGGTCGGCCAGCTGGAACAACTCCCACTTCAGGATGTGGTCGTACCTGAGACCACAGAAGACCCAAACAAGACCAGGTTTTTGTTAAAGCACTAATAATTCAATGTATTTGTGTATAGCCGTAAATCACCAGCAGTATTCTCTGAGGAATTAACAAAACCGTTGAATTCGCCAACACAGGTCAGATAATCAAACGAGAAATGTAGCAATAAAAACATACAGAGCCATTGGTCCACATGGGGCCATAAATGTCATTGAATGTAGAGTGTCCTGGATCATCTCCACTGCTCTTCTGTTAGAGACTCCTGCATCAGCAAGGAACAACTCGCTGGGAGAAAAGTGAGAAATCTCAGAGAAGCCCACATTGAGGGTCTCAGGACAGTGGTCATGATCCAGGACATATATCAACATTTATGGACAATTGTCATCTGCCCCTAATAGACAAATGGCTCCGTCTTTATTATCATTGCATTTCCTGTGCTGGAACCGCTTGATTCTCTGATCTGTCTTTGTGAATCAACAGCTTTGTAAAGTCCTCCAAGATTTGTTTCACCATGGCATATACTTTCTACTTCTATTGACACAGTAAGCAGCCTCAGTATAATTTTAATCCTCAATAAATAATGCATAATAATTCTAGTTTAATACTTTTTTGTATATCCTTTTGTCTTTTTTCATACAATAATTTAACTTTACTTTTGTTTGTCACTGTCCAAAGAACATCGCACGTTGAGCTTCTGAGTCTCCAGAAGGGTCGCCTTTTCATTCTTTGGTTTGAATTTCTGCAGCTTGAACAAACCCAGCGGCAACATCTCATGCTCGGGGCGACTGAACAAAGCTGCTATCAATGAAATTAAATTCAATGTTTAGCCTCACAACACCAGCTGTCTAAACTAAAGCCAAAACCATGGCTCTAAGTATCCTGTTCTATCAAGTAGAGTTTCTGTGTTAAAAACTAAACTGCAGTGAACGTACTTGACTGGCGCCCTGGCGTAGACCTGGAGCCAGTCCGGGATCTCGGCTGCGTGGTAGGGGTTCGCTGGCACCAGGACGGGCTGACACCTCTCTGGGGGGAGGGGCTGATACGTGACCGGGGGAGGGAGTGGAGGCGGCTGGTCGTAACGGGGAACACTGCAGACGAAAAGGTGCTTAGAGAGTACGTTTGTTGTGGGACAAGAATACAGAGTGCGCTAAAAAAACAGATGCTTTTCTACATTTCCAAACCAGTCTGACCACTTTTGCTCCATGAAGATGCAACATTTATCAGATTGAGAGCAGACGTCTTCAACTTGGTCCTCGAAAGGCTGCAGGTTTTTACTCACACCAAGCAGGAGAAACACTAGACTCCACCCATTTCCTCAAGAGAGTCCAGTCTGAATCTGGAGGCTTGAGTTTGTTGTGCTCCTGCTCGGTTGGAATGAAAACCTGCCTATTTTCCCCATCTTTGCATGTTGGGAGCTCTCATTAATACAGAATAAATGTTCTTTCTCCACTTGGCATGGAGAACATCTTTGGCTTCAATTTTTTTCTTTTTATAATGTTGACAAAAACCCAAAGGCTTGTTAAATGTCACTATGCAGGTAATGAGTCTATGTTATATACAAATATTGCTCTTTTACCTTCACATTTGTGAATATAAAAAGTATTTGGACCTGTATCGGTCCAAATACATACATTTCTAATATCAGCATGGCTTTTCCCGGTGCTCTTAAATGCATCTGCTGGCCTTGTCTCAGTAGCTCGGTCCAGTTAAGATAAGAATCATTATTCATCCCACAGTGGGAACATTTCAATGTTGCAGCGCACATACAGGACAGTAGAAAGAGCACACAAAATATACAATAGAAGTAGCTGTTATAATTCTTAGCTAGCTGTAAACAATTCACTATCAATAGTGTAAAGTTATTTACATGGTATGACAAACGACTGGAATTGAGATTTTTTCATTTCTTATTTTTCTAAAACCAGAGATTTTGCACTTAATTTTGCCTCTTAATTGTTCTAAAGTTAGATTATAGATTGCTTCCTTATTATGCTAAAGCTAGAAATTGTATTTTATTTCAATTTAGAATACTTACTTTCCCCCACTGTGGGACAAATAAAAAGAATCTGTTAATCTATACCTACATTTTGTTTGGCTAGTGCTTTGAAACTCACTGTAAAAGCGTGAGTAGTTAGAAAACAGTTAAACAATCTGAGGTTCCCTGGACAGACCTGGGCGCACACGGGTGCTTGTACTGCGCGCTCTTTGTGTTGTGGTGGACGTAGTAAACCCCGAACTCGGCGGACTCTACTTTCTCCCAGCCCGGTGGCAGGCCCTCCCTCTCCAGCGGGTGGCTCCAGTGAGTGGTGTTGGTGTTCATGTCGATGTAGTACTTGCGGCCGCGGATGGTCCAGTCCACGGTCCAGCCCGGCGGAAGCGGCATGTCGTCCTGGGTCAGGCTCGACAGGTTCCCCATAGACTTGGCCTGAATACGACCAATGCCTGAGGGGAAAAATAAGCTATGTTTAGAAATCGTGAGAAGCCAAAGCAAAATTCAAGCAAAATGGAGAAGCACATTTATTCTGTGGTTTGATGAGAGCTCCCGAGACAAAAATTGAGAAAATATGCCCATTTTTATTCAGAGATAAAAAAAAAAAAGAATGACAGTCAAATGATCAGACCTTTTATGATGGTTTAGTCCAAGTAAAGTCCTGGAGTAGTTAGAACTAGAAAGGTAGATCAGTATGTACAAAAGTCAGACAATATCAACAGGATGGGCCAGTGGTGTGGTATTGAAGTCTTGTATTAAGGTAACTGAAATTTCTTATCCAAAACAACCAATGACCTATATACGAAAATCATGAAAATTTCAAACTTCTTTCATCCAAATTTGATCCGTTAAGTAAGAACTGAGAAATGAACCAGGAAAACCCCAGTGAGTTTCCAGAATCTCTCTTGGCCCCAGCGGAACTAAATGTACACTGTCTCTGCTCTGGAGAGCAGCTTCAGTGACAGACTTATTCATCCTCGCTGTGTGAAGGAGAGGTTTCGCAGGTCCTTCCTCCCTGCTGCTGTCAGGCTGTACAACGAGAATGTGTACCAAGAACTGCTGAGTTTGAACAAATGTCACTGATAGTTCACTATAGTAACTTGTCACTAGCCACTTTACCTGCTGTTAGTATTACTGTATTATTACATATCCATCTGATATTTCTGCCATTCACCAGTCACTTTACCTGTTGATATTATGTCTGATATCTATTCTGTTCATAGGCATATTCCCATATTCTCCGCTGCTAAAGTACATACAGTGCCTTGCGAAAGTAACCTTTCAACATTTCAGGCTTCAAACATAAAGATACAAAATTTAATTTTTTTGTCATGAATCAACAAGTGGGACACAATCGTGAAGTGGAACGAAATTTATTGGATAATTTAAACTTTTTTAACAAATAAAAAACTGAATAGTGGGGTGTGCAATATTATTCGTCCCCTTTACTTTCAGTGCAGCAAACTCACTCCAGAAGTTCAGTGAGGATCTTTGAATGATCCAATGTTGTCCTAAATGACTGATGATGATAAATAGAATGCACTGGTGTGTAATCAAGTGTCCGTATAAATGCACCTGCTCTTTGATAGTCTCAGGGTTCTGTTTAAAGCGCAGAGAGAACCATGAAGACAAAGGAACACACCAGGCAGGTCCGAGATACTGTTGTGGAGAAGTTTAAAGCCGGATTCAAATATCTCAAGCCAGTATTGAAACATTTCTGGTTATTTTGGAGTTAATAATAGGGTTTAGGTGTAGAATAAATTCAGGTTTAATCCAGTTAGTTGAAGACTTTACCCCTGACTTAGCACAGCACTTGATTCTCCCTTAACCCTCTATGCACATGGGTCATTTTGGGGAACATTCCTCGCCTGGTTTTCTTTGTGTATAATTGCTCATAAAACATCTTTCGATGCCGAGTCAAGCAGTATACTTTGTTTTTTTCAGTACAACCTGGGGTTTTAGAATATTCATATTGTAAAGCTGTCATATGAATTATATAAAAATTATGGAATCATGAAGACAAAGAAAAAAATCAAACGGAAAATCAATTTAACAAAAATGTATTGAAAAAACACAATGAAATGCTATAAACAACTTTTTACACTGCATAGAAATGTTATTTAGGGACATGGTGATAATGGGGAAAAAAATTGAATCTCTAACTATTATACTTTTTACAAAATTCCACTATAAAAGCAAAAAACTCTTTACTCCTGATGCCCTTCCTGAAGCAGTTTGTCTATAATGCTGGGGTTGCTTCTGTAGCACAGCTGTAAAAAACGTAAAACATAAGAAACTGAGCCACACAAAAAAAAAACTACATCAATTGTTTATAAAATACATATATTTATCCATCCATCCATCCATTTTCTTCCGCTTCATCCGTTGCCGGGTCGCGGGGGCAGCAGTCTAAGCAGAGACGCCCAGACTTCCCTATCCACACACACCTCCTCCAGCTCGTCCGGGGGGACTCCAAGGCGTTCCCAGGCCAGCTGAGAGACATAGTCCCTCCAGCGTGTCCTGGGTCTTCCCCGGGGCCTCCTCCCGGTGGGACATGCCCGGAACACCTCCCCAGGGAGGCGTCCAGGAGGCATCCGGAACAGATGCCCGAGCCACCTCAACTGGTTCCTCTCGACGTGGAGTAGCAGCGGTTCTACTCCGAGCTCCTCCCGTGTGACTGAGCTCCTCACCCTATCTCTAAGGGAGCGCCCAGCCACTCTGCGGAGGAAGCTCATTTCGACCGCTTGTATCCGCGATCTTGTTCTTTTGGTCATTACCCAAAGCTCATGACCATAGGTGAGGGAGGGGACGAAGATTGACCGGTAAATTGAGAGCTTTGCCTTTCGGCTCAGCTCCCTCTTTACCACAACGGTCCGATACAGCGACCGCATCACTGTGCACGCTGCACCGATCCGCCTGTCAATCTCACGCTCCATCCTTCCCTCACTCGTGAACAAGACCCCAAGATACTTGAACTCCTCCACTTGAGGAAGGGCCTCTCCACCCACCCGGAGAGGGCAAGGCACCTTTTTCCGGTCGAGCACCATGGCCTCAGATTTGGAGGTGCTGATTCTCATCCCAGCCGCTTCACACTCGGCTGCAAACCGTCCCAGTGCATGTTGTAGGTCCTGGTTCGTTGGAGCCAACAGGACAACATCGTCTGCAAACAGCAGAGATGAAATCCTGTAGTCCCCGAACCGGACCCCCTCCGACCCTTGGCTGCGCCTAGAAATTCTGTCCATGAATACAGTGAACAGAACCGGTGACAAAGGGCAGCCCTGGCGGAGGCCAACATGCACCGGGAACAGGTCTGACTTACTGCCGGCAATGCGCACGCAGCTCTGGCTCCGGTCATACAGGGACCGGACGGCCCTCAGCAGAGGACCCCGGACCCCGTACTCACGGAGGACCCCCCAAAGGACACCCCGGGGAACACGGTCGAACGCCTTCTCCAAATCCACAAAGCACATGTGGACAGGTTGGGCAAACTCCCATGAACCCTCGAGTATCCGATGGAGAGTGTAGAGCTGGTCCAGTGTTCCACGGCCGGGACGAAAACCACACTGCTCCTCCTGAATCCGAGATTCGACCATCGGCCGTAACCTCCTCTCCAGTACCTTGGAGTAAACCTTACCAGGGAGGCTGAGGAGTGTGATCCCACGATAATTGGAACACACCCTCCGGTCCCCCTTCTTGTAGAGAGGGACCACCACCCCGGTCTGCCACTCCTTTGGCACCGCCCCCGATCGCCACGCGATGTTGCAGAGACGTGTCAGCCAAGACAGTCCTACAACATCCAGAGACTTTAGATAGTCAGGACGGATCTCATCCACTCCCGGCGCCTTGCCACCAAGGAGGCTGCCAACCACCTTGGTGACCTCTGCCAGGGAGATGGATGTATCCGCCCCAACATCCTCAGTCTCTGCCTCCGGAGCGGAGGACGTGACGGGGGGATTGAGGAGAACCTCAAAGTATTCCTTCCACCGTCCGACAATATCCCCGGTCGAGGTCAGCAGCTCACCCCCCGCACCGTACACGGTGTTGGCAAAGAACTGCTTCCCCCTCCTGAGGCGCCGGACAGTTTGCCAGAATCTCTTCGAGGCCGACCGATAGTCATGCTCCATGGACTCTCCGAATTCCTCCCAGTCCCGGGTTTTTGCCTCTGCAACAGCCCGGGCCGCGGCACGCTTGGCCTGCCGGTATTGGACAGCTGCCTCAGGAGTCCCCCGAACCATCATGGCTCGATAGGACTCCTTCTTCAGCCTGACGGCATCCCTTACTGCCGGTGTCCACCACCGGGTTCGGGGGTTGCCGCCGGGACCAGCACCAGAGACCTTGCGACCACAGCTACGAGCCGCCGCATCGGCGATAGAGGAAGAGAACATGGTCCACTCAGACTCAATATCCCCCTCCTCCGCCGGGACCTGGGAGAAGCTCTCCCGGAGGTGTGAGTTGAAAGTCCGTCTGACAGGGGGCTCAGCGAGGCGTTCCCAGCAGACCCTCACTATACGCTTGGGTCTGCCAGGTCTGACCGGCTTCTTCCCCTGCCAGCGGATCCAACTCACGACCAGGTGGTGATCGGTTGACAGCTCCCCCCCTCTCTTTACCCGAGTGTCCGAAACACGCGGCCGAAGGTCAGATGCAACGACAACAAAGTCGATCATCGACCTCCGGCCTAGGGTGTCCTGGTGCCACGTGCACTGGTGGACACCCTTGTGCTCAAACATGGTGTTCGTGATGGACAAACCGTGACTAGCACAGAAGTCCAACAACTGAACACCACTCGGGTTCAGATCAGGGGGGCCATTCTTCCCGATCACCCCTCTCCAAGTGTCACTGGCGCTTCCCACATGGGCGTTAAAGTCCCCCAGGAGAATGACGGAGTCCCCGGGCGGTGCACCGTCCAGTACCCCTCCCAAGGACTCCAAGAAGGCCGAGTACTCTGCACTGCTGTTAGGCCCGTAGGCCGTCACAACAGTGAGAGACTTGTCCCCCACCCGAAGGCGGAGGGACGCGACCCTCTCATTCACCGGGGAGAACTCCAACACGTGGCGGCTGAGATGGGGGGCAATGAGTATGGCCACCCCAGCTCGCCGCCTCTCCCCGCGAGAAACACCAGAAAAGTGGAGCGTCCAACCCCTCTCAAGGAGTTGGGTTCCAGAGCCCAAGCTGTGTGTGGAGGTGAGGCCGACTATCTCTAGTCGGTACCTCTCGACCTCCCCCACAAGCTCGGGCTCCTTCCCCCCCAGTGAGGTGACGTTCCACGTCCCAAGAGCCAGATGTTGGGTGTGCGGACTGGGTCGCCGAGGTCTCCGCCTTCGACTGCTGCCCAGTCCTCTCTGCACCGAGCCGCCACGGACCCCTCTGCGGGTGGTGGGCCCACAGGAGGGACTGCCCTCCCGTGGGCATATATTTATATACATCATATACACATAATGTCATTTTACTGTATTTATTATCGTCTTTATCAATAATGCGCACTCTTCAGCCGGTTATTGCAATCGCAGCTGTAGTTTCAACTGTGGGAGAACAAGTACAGACAGAGGAGTGAGACATCTCACTCTCTGACGATCTTTGGCAGTCCCCGTGTGTTTGTATCTCACGGGTCACGCTTTGGACACGGACTTTCAGACAAGCGTAGTTTATCCTCCGTGCATCGCACAGACAAAACAAAACTAGTTTCGGAAAGCCCTGAATATGTACTTCACAGAGGAAAAAAAAGTAAGTTGCTACGTTTTACCGTTCGCGAGTAAAATGATCATTTGTAAAACATGTGCGCCTGCATCGGCGCCGATGCAGACGGGTTCATAGGGTTAAACAAATAGGTTAAGTCCTGGTTTAGACCCAGTTTAAGAGGAGTTTTTCTAGTTCAAAATAAGAGCTGGGCAAAACCAAATCCACTGTAAAATACAGAAAATAGATGAAATGCAAAGAGCAGATGTTAAAGATTTCTTGTGTGGGAACTGTGGTATTCAAGAGGAATGCACGAGGTTTAAAGGTCATTTGGTTTCAGTCACGGAAAATACAGAGGACTTTGACAAATAACAGCTTGGACAGTAATGAAATGAAAGTAATAAGTGAGTTACTCTTTATCATACTCTACGTTCACTTAGGGCTAAAATATACATCTGTGATAATATTAGAATAGGAAGTATGTTGTCGGCCTGGAGTTTCTTTAAATTATGAAGTACTAACTGCTTGAAACTGAGTATATTCTGACTAGGGCTGGGCAATAAATTGAATTTGTGAAAAATGTAAAATCGAATGAAGCATGTTGTGAGAACTCCAACAACACATGAATTATACTTGCAATATCAGCACAGTCTGTTCTAGACTTTTATAATACCTATTGGGGAAACAAATCGTCCAATACGTCATGTTACCATGGCGGCGCATGAACATGCTGCGGCTTCTCTCTCTCTTGATAAGGTGACGTTTCTACCCTTTTCTGCAAACTGCATTTGCAGTTTTTGTGATCCGCATTGTTTTGCAAGATGTTGTTGTACATCTTTGCCATGTTTTTGTGGAGTTCAGCGGATTTTTTTTGCTAGCAATGAACAGAGGATGTGTTTTTAAAAGTAAACACACAGTTAGAATCTGAGATAAAGGCTTTTTGAGCAGTATTTAAGACCTACAAATCCAGAGATATCATCTTCTGAAGCGCTGACAGGTCACCGAGGGCCCCACGCATCTGCAGCACAGTGGAGGCGTCACAAGAGGCGCTACAGGAGTCCCGGCCTCCGTTGTGTCCAACTTCTACAGAGGGACTGTAGAGAGCATCCTGACCAGCTCCATCACTGGGTGGCACGGCACCAGCACTGCCTCCAGCGCATCGTGAGAGCAGCAGAGAAGATCTGTGGAGCCCCTCTCCCCACCATTAAGGACATGTACACCACCCCTCTCACCCGCAAAGCCTCACCCTACGCACCCATCACACAGGCTCTTCAGGGTAATGCCTTCAGGGAGGAGACTGCAGAATTTACGGAACAGTTCCAGTCGACTTAAAAACAGTTTCATTCACAAGGCCATCAGGAAGCTGAACTCCCTCCTTGTATTTTTGAAAGAATTTCAGAGAATTTATGAACTGGAAAGTTTAGTTGATGCTTGAGGAACTGTTTGTTCTCACTTTGGGACCAACTCTTCAAACATTTTGACAAGTCTGCTCAACTATTTCAAAACTAGAAGGCTTTGTCTCTACAGCAGCTTTTAGCTGTGTTCCCACCGCCAATGCACGGATGGAGGCATGGACACACAATCACTAAATGCTTGAGTTAACAGCCCTTGTTCACAGTCAACTCAAGGTGAAGACATATGTTCACAAGCGCAGACAGTCATTTCAGACTTTCAGTCACTTTTTCCAACACTGGGGATCTGTCACATAGAGCCCTAATTATTAAACTGCCAGCCCGAGTTTAATCCTGGTTTAGCTCATGTTTTGGTTGTTTTGAGTGTCTTCATCTGCCTGTTCTTAACTGCCGTGTGTCCCCAACACCACGTTGCCGCGCTCTGATTGGTTGCCGCACGTGTGGAGCGAGTGTGTGTTCATCTCCTGAATACTACTGTTAATTTAATAATTAGGGCTCTCTGGGACAGATCACCAGTGTTGGAAAAAGTGTATTCTCAGGTCTGAAATGAAAATGCAGCTTTAACTCTGCCTTGATAACCTCCGAGTTAGCATGAGGCTACGTCACTACGCAGTGGGGGGAGGCAGGCTTACAGGGGAAGAAGCAGAGAACCAGCCGTTTCAATTGACATCAACTCTATGCAAGAAATGGCTTTACCTTTTATGAGTTTTATGGTGTACCACAGTGTATCAGCGGCTACACCACATCTGCGGCTGTGACCTAAAGTGCTGTTGCATTTTAATAATACTACTATTCTTTGCTACTTTTTGAATTATTAATTAATTAATTTGGGGGGGCGACAGTAGCTCAGTTGGTAGAGCATTGGCCTTAAGGCTAGAAGGTCGTGGGTTCAATTCCCACCTCTGCACCTTCTCCACCGACTCCCACTGATGACTGCTGTCGTTGTGTCCTTGGGCAAGACACTTAACCCCACTTTGCCCAAAAGCCCCCACTGAAAGATCAAGGCTATGCTCACAGTCAGAGAGCAGCCGTCCTCCTGTGGACTCACCACCTGCAGAGGGTCAGTGAGGGGCTGGTGCTATGAGACTTGGGTGCATCTCTGATTGCCACCCCCCTGACCCAGAAATGGATTAAAGGGTAGAAAATGGATGGATGGATGGATAATTAATTAATTTGTTTTGTTTGTATCTGCTGGTAATAGACTCCTGAATTTCTCCTTCAGGGATCAATAAAGTATCTATCCATCTATCTAAATTATTATTATTATGTGCTGAGGATGGACTACGGAACGTGAAGAAGAGCAAAATATGGTGCCACTGCCTTTAATGTACTGTGATCATGACTTATGATTTTTATGCCTTGTGTGGTTTATCTTATCTTATTATGTTAAGCACTTTGAGATGCCTTGTGTGTGAACTGTCTATGAAAATAAACTTGCCTTGACTGTTCTGTCTGAAAAAGCTGATCTAAAGATGTGACAGAGGCCAGAAATACATGCATGAGAAGACTAGTGATGTATTATCTATCTTTTTATATTCTCAATTTATGATATCAATTTCATATTTGCTTTTATGGTTTAATTTTTGTATCACCACAGATATCAAATACATTTCATTTTTGTGGACATCTTTGTGACACAAAAATGGACTCTCTGAAAATATCTCCAAAAGCTTATAAATGACTTAGACATAGCATAAAGAACAATACAAGTTCAATGTTATTTGTAACTTTCTGCAATATGAATTTTTTTTTTTTTTAAATGTCCATGAAAAAAGCCCTTACCTGCCGTGGGTCTGCCCTGTCCTGGAGGCGTGTTTCTGGGGTGTCTCTGGACCTCGTTCCTCTCGCAGAACCTGAAGTCCTCCTGAAAGTTGGGCCTCCTCTGCGGCGGCTGGTTAGAGTAGTACAGGTCTGGGGGGTAGTAGAACCGGGAGGCGTCTCCGTTCTCCGACAGAGGCCCCACGTCGCTCAAGAACGAATGTGTGGAGCCTCCGTACTCTCGGGGCAGGTCTCCCAGGCTCCGGGGCAGATACGTCGGAGCGGACAGGCGGTGGCTCTCCCTGCAACAGAGAGAGGGAGTATTACAATTACACAAGCGAAATCTAATAATGTCTTGAAAAACTACTTTAGAAATACTTTAGAAATACATGCATTACAAGTTAGCCTGTAACAATAAACACAGTGTGATTCATTTCCTGGTTAATTATTTTTTGTTGTTGATATAAATCACAATGGCAGTCATCTCAGTGGACTTTACAGAAATAGATATACTTTGTTGATCATTGTAGGAGAAATTCAGGTGTCCAACAGCAAAAAATAATAACTCCATATAATATAATGAATTAATTAAGTGACTAACAATAGTAAAAGTGCAAATGTTCTGGTGGTTTGTTGTTGATTCACGAACAACAGACGAACAGAAATGTTCTTAAACGTTCCAGGTCACCACTGTTCTTAGACCCTCCTGCATTGGCAAGGAATGACAAAAAAAAAAAAACCAGTGTGAAACCTCGGGGGAGACCCAAATTGAGAGGGGGATCCGCTCTCTGGGACGAGCAGGCTGCAGATCCAAGACTGAGGCAGTAGAAGTATCCGTTTAGAATTGTTTTTGTTAAAAACATTTTTAGTGTAATGATAATTTGGTTCACTTAAAAATATCAATAAAAGTAAAAAAGATATATAGTCTTGCATAGTCAGGACTAAACATGAGGAGGGAGGAATTCAGATTTATTTTTTACCAGAGAGAGACAGGCCAGTGAGAGTGTGAGAGAATGAGAGAGAGTGAGAGAGTGAGAGACCCTCTGAAAATGTTCAAATCAGTTAAACAGAACTGTTATGAATTTATTTTCTTGATTTTGTTTTATTGTACTTTGAGTGGCCATGTGTATGAACTGTGCACACAAGAGCCGGTCACCAAAGCCCTCACCTGCGTGCAATTTCCTGCGGGGGGCGCTGCACTGGGGTCCTCCGCACCACAGGCTCTCTGCTGGGGGCCACGTTGTACGTTGAGGGGCCCATCTCTGGTAGCGGAGCCTCTGTTCGTCTGGGGATAGTGGGGCCATGACGGATGAAGGAGGGCATAAGGTCTGAGGCAGAAGAAAGACAAACACAGAAGAGATTCGAAGGGTTATGGTCTGTGAAAACTCTGCTCCTTCCTCCCAGTGGCCCTCTTTTATGAAACTTGCGCACAAAAGGGTGTATATTCCACATACGCACGAGCAAACACAGGATTTATGAAGGTGCGAGATCCGCCCAGAACTGAGCGTACGCACAGCAGCTGTTGATAAATGCCGCGGCTGAAAACGAACGTATTTATGAAAGTCACGCCTAGAAATATGAGACCAGAGAGTGACCAGAAAGAGAGTGACCAGAAAGAGAGGTTGACCAGAAAGAGAGGTAGACCAGAGAGGTTGACCAAAGAGGTTGACCAGAGAGAGAGAGAGACCAGAGAGAGAGAGACCAAAGAGGTAGACCTGAGAGAGAGGCCAGAGAGAAAGACCCCAGATTTGGAACATGTATGTTTTGTTTACAAATAGAGGGTTGAATTTTTACAGCATTTTAGTAATATTGCCGACTGTCACTCCAGTATACATCTATTCTATAACCTCAATACATGAATGCTTCCTTAAGATTACACATTATACACATACTTTACATATCGACCTGGTTTATGGTAAATACCTCATAGAATTACTGGTCTGCTTTCCACTGTCACAAATCTCTGGTGTCAGCGTTGATGTACAGACACCAGTAATCACCATACTACATACAGAACATGCACCGCATATTTCACACTGTTGTGAAATGTAGAGATAGCTAAAACTTAAGTGAAAAAGTTTTACACTTTGTATCAAAACAATATTTTTGGAGTCACTGTATTTGCAATATTACCGTTTCTTTTGGTGGTAATCAGATTGTGTGCAACCTTGACATTTTCATTAGTTTTCTGTAATATACTGCCTATCTTTAGTAATGATCCATTTTATCTTTGATCTTTTCTATTTCACAGTAACACCAGAGGCTAACCAAAGAGTGCAAAATCAAAATTGAGTCTGGTGTGTGTCTCTCTCTGGTGTGTCTCTCTCTTTAGTGTCTCTCTCTATAGTGTCTCTCTCTATAGTGTCTCTCTCTGGTGTGTGTCTCAGCTATAATCCCTTGCATTATTAAATGGTATTATTAGCAGCAGTAGCCAAAGTATTCCAAGCATTCACAATACAGGAATATGCCATCAGAATTCGTTACAAAATCACACATTTACATTTAAAAAGCGGAATAGCCAACTAAAACACGTTTTCAAAGTATGATCACTTACACCCCTTATAACAACGCTATTATTGAATGGCATCGTCCAGATTTAATAAATTTGACTCCGAAATGTACTTTTATAAACTTCAAACCAGTGTTTCCATCACTTCATACTGATAGCTATTAACGCTAACATCCTAGGCAATGTTTGGTTAGCTTGCTCGTTAGCATCTGGCTAAGTTACGTACTCTAAAAGGGTTTAAAGTAAATAATACATGTCTATGAAATCGTGCACTGCATGTCACAGGCATACAGAAAACAGTGTGTTCTGTGCAACCAGAAAAACTACTTTTTTTTAGCCTGAATTAAGTTTTTGCTCGCAGTTAGCCGTGGATAAGAGATGCTAACAGATGCTAACCACTTGTTGCTTACTTCCGAGCATAGGCGAGGTTTCCTTCTTCACATACTTCCCGTGGACTTCGGCTGGTTTGGAGGCTTCGTTTTTGCTTTTCTTTCGAGAGAGCATCACTTAAAGCTCTCTGGGCCCTCAACAGCAGCACGGCGTGGTCCTCTGACACGGTCCATCCATGGAAGTGTGTAGAGCGGGCATGACTGGATCTGTACCCAGACTTGAGGAGACTGAAAGCGAGAGTCCGCCTCCCCATCCGCTCCTTTAGCAATCACATAGGACACATACTTCACATTTTTACAATAACAACCATCTTAAAAACCGCTTTTACCATGGGGCTTTTACCCAGTGGAATTATGTGAGGAAACTATCGCTATTATTTTGTAATTATAACTATCATTAAAGCTGGGACACCTAACTTTGTTGAATAATAAATTATGAACTTTGGGTAATTATGTACATATATCTGACCACATCATGTGGGCTTTGCCTGAGAAAATACAAATTAAATTCATTTAGTTTTGTATAGCTAGTTACAACAGCAATTGTCTCAGAGGACTTTACAAAGTTGTCAATTCTCCAACACAGATCAGAGTATCAAACAGTTCAAAAAGAGAAAATGCATTGATAAAAAACACTGCGGCAGATGACAGATGTCCATACATGTCGTTATATCTTTTGCATACTTCTACGATGCAGCTCTGTGAGTCACTGGTTTTAGGCTGGGAGCTGATTGGCTGAATGAAGGTGGTCCTCTTTCTTTCACTTTTCCATCTGAAAAAGCCGATCTATAGATGTGAAAGAGGCCAAAAAGACAGTTTGGAGAACTAGTATCTCAGTATCTATCTAACCAACTATCTAGATAGATATCTCCAAACCAAATCCCTCCTCAAGGAGACAAAATAAACAACATGCTTACAAATCTGAAATCAGAAATGAAAATCAGAAGTGAAATCAGACAGCGATATTGCGTGTGACGTGGAACTTGTCTGCGGCGTCAATTTGGATATTGTCCCCTAGATCCATGAGTGTTCCATTTCTTTGGGAGAATTTCAGACCCTTAGTTCTGGACTCAACGTGGGATAGGGCTATGACGCCGTTTGCCGCATATATATCTTTAGTCACTTTACTTCACTGTACTGCTGTCACCTTACATTGTGTGCACCATGTGCACTTGAATATTGTAAATAGTAACTGTAACTCTAGTTTAAATTTAAATGTATTCCTTAGAAGTGTTTTTTATTCTTTATTTTTTATTATCTCTTTCTGACTGTTGCACTGAGCCAAAGCAATTTCCAAGTCTGTGACTTCCTGTTACTTACGTGGCAATAAAAATGATTCTGATTCTGATTTTGATTCTGATCTGTATCTAAAATCTCATGGTCCTAGTCCCGGCCTTGGTCCCGTTATCACTCCCCTGTGCGTCCAGGGCCAGGTTCTTGCAGTCCTCCGGTCCCTCAAACACAGCACAGCACTGGATCTGAGACAGCAGCAGCCTGAGGAATTGACGCAGAGCTGCGTCAGCGCCGGGGCTGATAGGAAAAGGAGTCTCTTCATCTGTGAAGCTGAAACAGAGTTTAGTCTGAACGTTTGATCTGTGTTTAAAAGGTGCCATATTTCCATTTTCTTCATTTTTAACAGTCCATTCTATGCGCATGTGTGATAATAATTTGGGTGATAAACCATACAACATTCAAAACAATAGCCATGTCGGCCATAGAGGTGCTGTAAGCTGGCCTCCCCCCAACTGCAGGGTGACCAGTGGGGGCACGTCCCGGCTCAAAAAGCCCCATGAGCATGTGCGCTGACATGCTTGCAATAACACTCCTAGCCAGTGGGGGTGGCCCCAGAAAGAGAATTATCCAAAGCTTTTGTATGGCGCCCTCTGACCTCTCAAAAAAAGTCTTTACAGGATGGTCCAAAAGTCGGCTCTTGGCCCAACGCTATGTTCCACATGTGTGTTAATGCTGAAGGGAGTTTTTTTTTCTGGAACAGTCTAGTTTAGCCCCTATGGACTTTTGAAGCCACTCGTCAAATGAATAGGGCTCGTGCCGGCTGACGCATGAGCGAGTGCGTGTTTTTTCAACATTTTCATGGGGCAGTTTTTCCATCTGAAAAAACCGTCCGTAGACGGTGAGGTGGTGGAGCGACTTCCCTGTTTTAAATTCCTGGGCTTGAACGTGTCTGAGAACCTCTCCTGGGGACAATACATTTCCTCTGCGGTGGGGAAAGCACAACAGCGGCTCTTCTATCTGAGGAAGCTGAAGAGAGTCCATCTCCCTCAGAGGCCCAGGATAAACTTTTATAACTGTGCCATTCAGAGTGTGCCGACGTATGTTCTGCTTGTGTGGTTCTCCTGCTGCACAAAGGCCAAGAAGCAGGCGATCCAGAGGGTGGTGAAAACTGCTGGAAATGTCATTGGAGCTCCCCTCCCAGAGATCTCCAGTGTGTTCACCTCCCGCTGCCTGCGGCGGTGTCATTATCAAAGACCACTCCCATCCAGCACACCGACTGTTCCACCTGCTGCCCTCAGGCCGGAAGTACAGGTCTCCCTGCCCGAACCAGCAGAATGGTCAACAGCCTCTATCCCCAGCTGTCAGACTGGTCAATGAACACTGCCCCCTTTCTCTATGAACTGGTCGTGCATTGTTGCAGCTACACACTCATTTACAACATGTTACTGTTCTGCTAATCTACCTCTGCCCTGTGCTGTTTACATCCTGCCAACTTTAGCACTTTATATGCTTATCACAGTGATGCTCTAAATGTAATTTGGTTGTTTTTGTGACAATGACAATAAATTATTGAATTGAATTGAAGACAAAAGTGATGGCACATTAGTTTCAACGGCGGAGATAGGCGCGACTACGCCCGTTAGTATTTACAGTCTATGGCAGTGACATAGCATCACGCTAAGTTCGAGGTAAACAAAAGCTAACTGTACAGCTTTCAATGTTACTGTTTTCCAACAATGGCAATCTGTCACATAGATTACAAACGTGAGACACAGAAGGTCACTGGAAAAACTGCTCTCTATCATCAGAATCAGAATCAGAATCAGAATCATTTTTATTGCCAACGTAAGTAACAGGAGGTCACAGACTTGGAAATTGCTTTGGCTCAGTGCAACAGTCAAAAAGAGATAATAAAAATAAGAATAAAAAACACTTCTAAAGAATAAATTTAAAATAGAGTTACAGTTACTATTTACAATATACAAGTGCACATGGTGCACACAATGTAAGGTGACAGCAGTACAGTAAAGTAAAGTGACGTATGATGGGCAGTAAAGTGACTTTATAAAGGGCGGGGGGACAGGTTAAGAAGTGTTCAAGAGTCCAACAGCAGAGGGGAAGAAACTGTTCTTGTGGCGGGAGGTTCTAGTCCTGATGGACCGCAGCCTCCTGCCTGAGGGGAGTGGTTGGAATAGTCCATGTGCAGGGTGAGAGGGGTCGGCTGTGATACGACCAGCCCGGCCTCGAGCTCGGGCGACGTACAGGTCCTGCAGCGATGGAAGGCTGCGGCCGATCACTTCCTCTGCAGAGCGCACAATGCGCTGTAGTCTCTGTTTGTCCCTGACTGTGGCTCCAGCGAACCACACGGTGATGGAGGAGGTGAGGATGGACTCGATGATGGCCGTGTAGAACTGCACCAACATCTGTGCAGGCAGCTTGGCTTTCCTGAGCTGCCGCAGGAAGTACATCCTCTGCTGGGCCTTCTTGATGAGGGAGCTGATGGTCGGCTCCCACTTGAGGTCCTGGGTGATGGTGGTGCCCAGGAAACGGAAGGACTCCACAGAGGTGATGGGGGAGTCCATCACGGAGGGTGGGGGCGGGGGGACAGTGCTCTTCCTGAAGTCCACAATCATCTCCACTGTCTTCTGGGCGTTCAGCTCCAGGTTGTTACCACTGCACCAGGACACCAGCCGGTCCACCTCCCTCCTGTAGGCGGACTCATCGTTGTTGGAGATGAGTCCAATGAGGGTGGTGTCGTCCGCGAACTTGATCAGCTTCACGGAGTCGTGGCTGGAGGTGCAGTGGTTGGTGTACAGGGAGAAGAGCAGGGGAGAAAGAACACAGCCCTGTGGGGCTCCTGTATTTATAATCCGAGAGTCCGAGACATTCTTCCCCAGACGCACTCGCTGCTTCCTGTCCGTCAGGAAGTCAGTGATCCACCTGCAGGTGGAATCGGGCACGTTGAGCTGGGAGAGCTTGTCCTGGAGCAGGGATGGCAGGATTGTGTTGAAGGCAGAGCTGAAGTCCACGAACAGGACCCTGGCGTAGGTCCCCGGGGAGTCCAGGTGCCGTAGGATGTGGTGGAGGGCCAGGTTAATGGCGTCGTCTACAGATCTGTTGGCTCTGTAGGCGAACTGCAGGGGCTCCAGGAGGGGGGAGGTGAGGGACTTGAGATGGGAGAGAACCAGGCGTTCAAATGACTTCATGACGACAGACGTAAGTGCTACAGGTCTGTAGTCATTGAGTCCTGTGATCCTGGGCTTCTTCGGGACGGGGACAATGATGGAGGATTTGAAGCAGGCCGGGACATGGCAGGACTGCAGAGAGGTGTTGAAAATGTCCGTGAACACAGGAGTAAGCTCACTGGCGCAGTGTCTCAGAGTGGCCGGAGACACGTGGTCCGGGCCAGGAGCTTTGCGGGGGTGCAGCCTTAAGAAGAGTTGTTTAATCTCTTTAGCGGCTATTGTTAGGCTGGGGGCAGGGCTGATGGGTGGGTTGTTAGAGTAGTGGGGGGTGGGGGAGGGAGAGGTGTCAGGGGCAGCATCAAAGCGACTGAAAAATAAGTTCAGTTCGTCAGCTAGCTTGTGGTCATCAGCACAGGGGGGGGCTTTGGGTTTGTAGTTGGTGATCTCCCGTAGGCCCCTCCAGACAGAAGCAGTATCGGACAATCCTATACATCCACTCCTCCAGCGGCAAAGGAGCTCCTTCTCAAACAGACTCCTACAAGAGCGGTACAAGAGCACGTTCATGCCACACTCCAGATAGCACATCTAAACAGACTTCAACTTTATCTGCTTTGTCCTTGTTTATATTGTATGGAAGCCCGTTTCCGCCATGTTAAAAAAAAAAAAGCCTACAGAAAGTCAAAATTTCGACTTTAAAAGTCAAAATTACGAGTTTTCAACTGCGCATGTGCAGTTGAAAACTCGTATGTGTTGTTGTCTGGAACGGTCTCTGGTCATCCCTGTTATAGATCCATGACCATGGGTCATCCTCTACCTGCAGATTATGTGAAGATATTTCCTACAGACAGTGACCACATCCATGAAGTAGCAGCAATAATGTTGTGGTAGTAATCGCGTTAAAATGCAAACGGTCTCTCCGTTTATGATTAGAATCCGCTTCAGAAGCCTCTATTTAGTTTATCCTAAACGGACTGTGGAAGATTAATAATAAAACACATGTGGCTGTTCAAAGTCATTGAGCATCAACTGGTGACGTCTGGTCAGTATCATTGCGATCGATGGATGCACCAGAAATGCAGTGAATATTATTGTGACTGACAGACAGAGGCAGGAGAACCACAGTCACGGGCACTGACATTATTACCCTTTTGGAATTGCGATCAGTGCATTGAAGAGTATGTGACGTGTTTGCGTGCATGCGGGGGTGAGCTGATGGAGCGTGTGGTAAAGTTGTTGGCGTATGAGCAAGAACACAGAGACATACAGGGAATAAGTACCTTGTCTGATTATTTTATTGTGACAAAATAAAGCCCACGACTCTTTTAGCAACAATCCGGAAAAATAACTCCGCAGATAACAGTGAGGGTCTTTGAAAAGGGTTAGAAATAGATAACCCCATTATAGATGCATGAATAAAACCCCGTACTCAACACGTAGAAAGCGCATCATTTCAGCCGTGGAAACACTCGCTCTGTGTGGACCCCTCTCAGCGCCATCGTCTGGTCAGAGTGGTCTACAGCAGATTGGATTGGAATGTCTCGATGGCTCATTTTCCTTTGATTTCCTTTGAAATAAGAAGTCGTTTGATTTAAATGTTGTATATATGTAAATTGAATTTAACATAAATAAATAAAAAAACAGCTCCTCCCTGCCTCGGCTTAAACAGGAAAGTTTTACAGAATCAATCAAACAACATTATTTCTGGCTACTTCAAGGATGCAGTGGTCGCTGTCAGCAATATCTTCACATAATCTGCAGGTGAAGGACGTCCAGAGACCGCTCCAGACAACAACACATACGAGTTTTCAACTGCACATGCGCAGTTGAAAACTCGAAATTTTGACTTTTAAAGTCGTAATTTTGACTTTTAAAGTCGAAATTTTGACTTGTAAAAGTCGTAATTTTGAGTTTTAAACTCAAAATTTTGACTTTCTGTATGCTTTTTTTTTTTTTTTACATGGCGGAAACGGGCTTCCATAGTATTGTATATTAACAGATGTGTACTCCTATTATCTCTGTATTTTATACTGTAAATGTGTACATATACACATACATACATATACACATACATAGAACCTACATCCAGATTATTCTATTTTCACAATTATAATATTATATTATTATAATTCTTCTTTTCGGATTTTTACTTTAATGTTATTTTTTATTTTTTATTGTGAAATACTATGCAAGCTACTGTGACAACGCAATTTCCATTGTGGATCAATAAAGTCTGTCTAAGTTTAGAGCCCAATGTTGATCCAGAATCAGACCCTAATTGTTTATTTAACATTACCATACATCGAGTTATTGTATTGTACTAACAGGCGGAGGCTCCCTGTTAGCGTCTTTTATGTTGGGAATAACACCAAGTTTCCAGGTCAGCTTTTGAGTAGGTACTGTTTCAAGGTAACCATAGTTCTGGAACACTCTTTGGCAAAGTGTCACCGTCAAAATCTTTTGTTTTGAGTTTTGTGGCGGATATCAGACTCCCGAATTTTAGAGGCAGATCCCCGTGAACAAAGTCAATCCCCATCTGCATCATTCTCCGTTTTGGGGACAAATACTATAGTCATGTATTTACACCCAAAAATAAATTTTCATGATGCCAACACAAAAAAGCACAGATGCGTATGTCTATGGACCACACGTTGGACTCGAAGAGAGGCTGCATGCGCTGATTCACTAGTTCCATTTCTCCATACTGTCAATCACCTCACGAAGGCGGATTTTTTCACGTCACAATTTGGTCCATGTCACGATTTGAATTGGGACGTTTCTGTGTCACGTCAATTAAACTAGAGAGAAGTCAAAAAGCGTAATGCAGTACCTTTTATGGCAGACCGAGGGCGAGACATGACCTCACTGTATGTGTGTGTCTGTGAGTATCTGTGTGTTGCTTGTGTTGTGTGCTCACGTTTCCCGTCAATGGCCTGGATGCAGTCAGGACAGTCCCGTTCATTTTAATCACATGCATCATATATAATAATAAAGTCCAACCTCTCTGGGATGTAGATTCCCATCCGCAGCATCTCCTCCTGGAACTGATCCTTGTTGTTGCACAAAGTGCATCTGAAGAAGAACAGCCCCGAGCTGTGAGCCTGGAGCTGGAACAGAGCGAGAGTCAGATAACGATCTACACTCAAGAAGGTCTAAACCCAAGAAGGTCTAAACCCAAGAAGGTCTAAACCCAAGAGACACTAAAACCCAGAGGGTTCTTCCTGTCAGACCTGTGCACAGTGGCGGTGCAACCAGCTGCTGTGACACTCGGGACACTTGAAGACACTGAAGCTCAGGACGGGGTCCAGGACGTCCAGACACACAGAGCAGGAATGAGGCAGGCTGAGGTCTAGAGCAGGACTCAGGGTCTGGACCGGGGCGTGGGCCGGACAGAAGGACCTGAGGGAGAGGACACACACAGAGACAGTGGCAGCCAGAGGTATAGAGCCACAAGACACAGACATTGTAGAACAGTTGTCACTCACGGGAACGGGCAGATGAACTGAGACACAAACTCTTCCTTCTGCGCACACGGGAAGTGCGCCTTCTTCCTGCAGGACGGAACACTGCAGCCCACTCACGCTCCCTTCAGCTTACACACACTGCACCTCTGTGGAGGACAGAGACGTTAGACACACACACACACACACACACACACAGGCTCTGAGGAGGACAGAGACATCACACACACACACACACCCACACCCTGAAGAACAGTCGCGCGCACACACAAACACACACTGAAGAACAGTCGCACATATTACACACAGTGGATCTGATTCTGCATTTAAATCACCCCACAAGAGGTGAGCTGCAAGAGACCAGAGTTGGACTGGGTTTAGTCCTGGATCAGTCCTGGTTCAGTTCTGCTTCAGTCCACCTTCAGTACTCACAGTCTTCACTCAGCTCCAGCCTTGTCCTCCACCGCTTCATTGTGACTCTAAATAAAACATTATTTGTGTTTGTGAATTATATAAATAAACAGATGTAATGTAATGTAACTATCACATTAAAAACATGTCAATAATTAGAGGTGAGAAGTTTTTAAAACTTTTTCCGGAGACTGTGGACCTGGACCAAGTGACCATCCTCCCTTTGTCCCAATAGACTTTGTCATGGAGACTCTCAAAAGACAAAATGCTCCAGGATCATGATCATTCCATTAATCAATTAAAAATACTAAATCACATCAGTCTAGAGATTCCAGTAAATTACAAAACAATAGCGGAACGTTAGATCTATTCTGTAAAGTAGGGCTGCACGATATCGGAAATTAGAGCGATATTTGAGTGTTTAGTATTGCTATGACGATATTATTGCGATATTTTTGGGCACCTATAAAGTTGCAATCTGCATTGAAACAGAGAATAATAAGAATTTTGGGAAAATCCTCCACATAAATTGAAATTACGCTTGAAAAATGTATAACGGATGAGATAGTTTCAGTAAAAATTAAACTTGAGATAAAAATGTAAAATGCTGTTTTAAAATGTTGAGGATTTTAAGGATTATGTATGAAAGTGTGTCAAACAACTGCGACCTTCTCCACGAACATGACTTGTGCTTGTACCTAAAGCTGTCATAAAATCCATGTCTCTAGTTTTCACATGTGTTTCTGGCCTCTCATTTCTTCAGATAAGAAAAGTGAAAGATAGAGGACAAGTAGAGGGTGGTGATGGAGCTTAAATAGTATGTAGTATTATTATTATGACCTTTTATCAGGCAGTTTCAAACGTTTTCCTTACCGTTATGTCGCCACTGCCTGGTTTGGAAGTAGTTGGTGTTGGTCCACTGCACCAGGCTTCATTCCCTAAAATAATGTCATCAATAAATCATTAAGAGTCAACATGCAGAGCGTGACTGAATAACCATAAACAACACACCATAGAGTGCCACTTCAGTTCTGTTTCAGGTATAGTTTCAGGGCATGAAAGGACATGGCTTACATAAAGCACATTTAACTAGTTAGCGTTAGCAACCTAGCTTCAACTATAAGACAACACACACAACACCTCTGTGCTTTTTACTTTATACTGTGGCGTAAAAATGCTAATATTTACAGTCTATGCTTAAAAAAACACAAACAGCAATGAGTTTGGTCTTTTCTGCAGTCTCAGATCCGCCATCAGCTTGGGTCACTGTAAGGAGGAAGGCGGCCACAAACATGTTATAATAGCGTTTTTATGTAGATATTTTATTGTTAAGAACGATATACATGTTCACGTTTATATGTACCAAAAAATCGTATAAAAAGATATAACGTATAGCGCGCAGTAACGTAAACGTCACGCGCCCTTACGTCTGGTATAAAACACGAGCATCAGTTCAAACTTTCTCTTTCTGCCGCGTCTAACGTTGAAGTGTGTCAAACCGCTGTGAATTCAACCTAACCAAAACTATGGTAAGTCTTTGAGTCTTATGTATTGTAAGCTTTGATAACGTTTCTCGTGTTGCTTGTAATGCTATTTTAATCAATGCCCCACGTAGATTGTGGTCTTGAAAGTTTGATTAGGTAGTTTCCCGCTTTTTTCATTTCAAAGTATTGTATGAGTGTACGACTGTAAACGGGTTTAACAGTAATTATACAATGATAACCCTACTACATAACGACGGGACGTGTTATAAACCGTTTGTAAAAGATTCATGTGTGACATTAGTGCTAACGTCCACTCCACGCTCTGCCTTAGTACCATTTCAACGGATTTCAACCGAATATAATGCGTGTTTGCCTGGTAACCAGGGCAACCGCCGGTTCCAACAATATAAACTCTATTGGGGGGAAATAAGAGAGACACACACTTTATTTATCTTAGTAAAGTACTTTAGTAGCCTTTACTCACTTTTAATGTGTGCTAAAACTGGTGACTATGACTGAAATACAGCAAAAACATTGTTATATAAGAAACTTTATAGATCTCACAATGGAGAAATTTACAATGATGTTCAATGTCTACCAGATGCCAACTGTGGTAACTAGCGCTGGCTCTGGTGGAAAACCAATCTAGGCAGCTCAGAACCAGGACCAGTCCAGGCCCAACACCTGGAGAAATTGACATTAACTGCCTCAGAAAGTTGGTTCCTAAGCAACCAAAAATATCTACTTTTGAATTTAAAGTTCAGAATCATGCTACTTTATTTATCTTACCTGGGGAATTTCATCTGAGCAGCCCAGGGCATAAAAGAAAACATAAACATAATAATGTCTGTGTGTGTGTGTCCAGCGTGAGTGTATCTCAGTACACGTGGGCCAGGCCGGTGTGCAGATTGGAAACGCCTGCTGGGTGTCCCCTCCGCACCCTCATCCCCCCCTCCCCAGATGCTCCCCCCCCCCCCCCCCTCACTTCCTTACCAAACCCCCCCCATATCTTTCCCTAGTAACCTCTATTACTTCGCCACCCCCTGCTACCCTCCCCCCACACACCTGAACCCCCACCCCTCCGCCCTCGAGTCATGTTTAGAGGATCAGGAGCTTGGAGCTGATCTGAGGAGTCATGTTATTAGAGGGTTTAGAGGTGGTCTCTCAACTGTAGCTCGGAGCCATCATAGCTTGTCCCCCCCTTCCAGGTAGGCTCGCCAAAGGATTAGAAATGCATCAATTCCATTTTCTTCCTTTAATCCATTTAGGGGTGTCAGGGGGGTGGCAGTCAAAGCTGCACCTAATTCACTGGAGATCCAGCCCTCACTGGATCTGTTGCAGGGGGTGAGTAACACAGGAGTGTTGTGAGGGATTTAGGATTGAATAAAACCAAATTACATAACTTCCAGTCAGAGTGTATATTTCACTTATTTATTATCGCTATATGCTCTTACATTGTGCACTGGTAACCAATTGTGATGTATGGGTGAAAAAGGTTAGTGACATATGTGTTAGAGGATCAGGAGCTCGGAGTATTCTGATGATCGTCAACTTTGATGGATTTGTGTCCTCAGTCGGTAGCATGTGCACTGGGTGCAGGGCTTCCTGGTGTTCCACTGTTTCGGTGGAAAGGTTACTGGTCTGGATTCACCTCGCTGATGATGGTGCGTTTGTATGTGGACTTTGGGAAGAAGTCTAAGTTAGTAGGGTCTCCATCTACCCGGCGCCACAGGTGATCCACTGCGGTGGTGGAGCCGTACAACGCCATCCTGAACACGCACACCACTCTGGACGCACTCGGGACTGCGCCTTCATGGTCGACATCGAGGGGGTTATTGTGACGACATCTGCCGGCGCAACCTGGACATCGAGCGCCCCACCTACTCCACCGGAACGGCTGATGAGCCAGATAGTGTCCTCCCATCCCGCCCTCCCTGCGCTTCGCCGGCGCCCGGATCGTGGCCCTCACAGAGTTCCAGACAACCGGTGCATTATCCTCGCATCCACTTCCCTCTGTCAACCTATGCTCCGGTCATCTCAGCGGAGAAGGCTTTCCACGAGCAACTGACCGTGGCAGAGATTACCAGCGCCTGTTTCGAACCAGCCAATCAGATGGTAAAGTGCGACCCTCGCCACGGCAAGTACATGGCGTGTTGCTTGCTGGACCGCGGGGACGTGGTTCCCTAAGACGTCAACTCTGCCATTGCCTCCATCAAGAACAAACGCACTGTGCAGTTGTGGACTGGGGTCCCCACCGGCTTCAGGTGGGCATCAACTACCAGCCGCCCACTGTGGTCCCAGGAGGAGACCAGGCCAAGGTCCAGAGAGCCGTCTGCATGATGAGCTACACCACCGCCATCGCCGGAGGCCTGGGCTCGACTCGACCACATAGTTGTGACTGAGGTACGCTAAGTGAGGCCTTCGTCCACTGGTATGTGGGGGAGGGCATGGAGGAGGGGAGTTCTCTGAGGCCAGGGAGGACATGGCAGCCCTGGAGAAGGACTATGAGGAGGTGGGCGCTGACTCTGTGGAGGGGGAGGAGGAGGGAGAGGGAGTATGGGAGAGAGGAGGGGGGGGAAGGGAGAGGAGTACTGAGGTTGAGGGGAGAGAATACTGAGGAGGAGGGAGGAGGGAGAGGAGTGCTGAGGGGAGGGTGAGGCGTGGAGGGGGGAAACACTGAATTTTATCCTTATGGTTTGTTTGCCCGATGCCATTCAGATCTTCACTGATCACTGGTTATATCCTGCTTCTGCTGTCGTTTCATTTCAATAAACAACTTTTAAACAACGTCATGTTTGGTGTTAGCTGTGAGGGCGAAAAAAACATTGCAGAAAACATTATTCACCAAATAGTGAAACAAAAGTTTTCTCTTGAATTCAGTTACATTTTGCATTAGAACCTTTATTTTAGGATTGCTCTCTATATCTGTTCTAGTATCCGTTCTAGATCCCCATGGTGACACAGCGCCCTCTAGCTGCGGGACTCTTAGTGAAGTTGGCTCTTGGCCCAAAGACTCCGTTCCACATGTGTGTCAATGTTGAGGGGGGTGATTTTTTTGTCCACTCTAGTTTTACTTGCTGTGAATTTTTTAAGTCTCTCGCTTCAAATGAATGCAGTTGCGCCGGCTGAGCATGCGCCAGCCAGAGTGTTTTTTCACCAATTTTCTTGTGGGGGGACCACTCGCGGGCAATTTTG